GATTAGGGTTAAAAACCGCCTTCACCGGGGAAGGCGAGGACCTTTACTTCGCACTTCGCTCACTCCAGTGAGTTTCCGTCCTGCCCTTCAGGCGATTGACCACCCCGTGACGGCCCAAGCCGAGGTTCGAGTCTCTTAGGAGACGCCCTTGCGCTAGTCGCGGGAAAAACGCTCATTCTGGTCGAGCTACGCTCGCCAAAACAGCCCGAGCTGAGCTGTCAAGGCCCTGAAGGCCAACAGCGAGATCCCTTTCAAAAAAAAAATAAAAAAAATTGTTCGCCGGACCGATGTCCGGTGCATGTACACACATTCATTATAATTTAAACACCACCGCGAATCCGGCAAAAAACACGGTCCGTTATCCGGTGAAAAAAACGGACGTCTACAAGCGCTCTAAGGCCGGGTTCCCACTACGCCGGACCGGCAGATCTGCCGAAAACCGGACACCGGACAGAGTGTTCACATTACATCGGATCCCGGAAGAAATTCAGACAGTCCTCAGTTGAATTTGGACCTGCGCGCACAATGGACGACGAAATTGTTGTGTTGTGGTGGTATCTTAATAGAAGGCAAAATAAAAGAAAACATTGGGTACACCCTATTTTACGGGAAAGATTTTCACTTGGAACATTTGAAACATTAATGGGTGAACTTAGAAGAGACGAATCAAAGTTCTTCAATTATTTTCGAATGACAGCAACCACTTTTGACGATTTACTGGGACGACTAGACATAAGAGTACGAGATACAAGTTTCAGAGAATGTATTTGCCCAGAACAAAGATTAGCCATATGTCTAAGGTAAGATTATTTTATGCACTAGATTGCGTAATAATAGTTTTGACGTAGGTACCTACTTAAGACTGTATGAATGAATGAATGTTTGCTATGTATGTTTGTTTCATGAATGTGAATATATATAATGTGTGTGTGTGGGAGGGTGTATGTATTTGATAATCATTATGAATTAAAAATGCAAACAATTATTTAAGTATTTATTTGTACTCAAACTTAAATCCCTTCAAAATCTAAGTAATCTGAGTCTTGGGAATGTATGGAACGATTACTAGATGCTGATGGCGAAGCTGGAATCGGATTCGATGTCTGAGATGAAGTTGATGGTATAGATGTTGTTGCCTGTTGATTGCTACTATTATATTGCGTAGAGTATCCAGGGTAGTGTTGATCTTGCGTAGGTATTGGCTGTTGATTGACGCTATTATGTGTGTAGTATCCAGAATACTGATCTGGTCCGGTTATCTGATTATATGAATCACGCCAATGTCCGTAATTTGGTCTCTCATAATTCCTACTTTTAATTTTTTGCAACATTGTCATGACGCTAGCTTGAAATTCTAAAGTCTCTTCGATAGTTAAAGTGTTCAAGATTGGTATAATGCCTTTGAAGAAAGATAGATGATGGTTTTCCTTTTCTGGGTTTATTCTGGAGTCCAAAAACTTTACCATCCTGTCATTTACCTCTTTATTATCAATTTTTTTTTTATCTTTAATTAAAGGTGAACGAAAATCTGATTCCATGCCTACTTCAGTCTCGGTTCTTGCTTTTTTTGAAACTGACTCATGTGGTGGTCGAGGTTCGGAGACTTTTTTCAAAAACATTAATTGCTCGTGATATAAATAATTTCGTGTCTTTTTGGTCGAAGATCCAGATTTAGACTCATCTTTTGTTTCTTTACTGTCTTAAGCCACGAATCTCGTATATTATTCCATTTAGTTGAAACCTGTTTTCCTGAAATCAATAAAAAAATATCATAAAACAATACAATTTGTTTCTTGGTGACGTATAAAGTAATAATGTATTAACAAAAAATACTTTTTTTTCAGATATTTAGCTTCAGGATGTTCATTCAAAGAAATACATTACTCATACAGAGTAGGCGTTTCGACAATAAGTAAACTAATAAAAGAAATGACCCACGTCATTTGGGAAAACCTAAAGACAGATTTCCTTAAGCTGCCTGATACTGAGAGAGAATGGGAGGACATCGCTTCAGGATTCGAAAGAAAAGCCAACTTTCCTCACTGTCTTGGAGCAGTAGATGGCAAACATATCAGAATTTTGAAACCAGCCAAGAGTGGTTCTATGTTCTTTAATTACAAGGAGTATTATTCTTTTGTATTAATGGCAGTTGTCGATTCAGAGTACCGATTTATTTTTATTAGTGTGGGCTCATTTGGCAAGGAATGCGATTCTAGTATATTAAAGGATAGTACATTTTGGCAAAAGATCAATGATGGTACTTTAAATGTACCAAAGCCTAGACCGCTTCATGAAAACTTGCACGAAGAATTACCGTTTATACTTGTTGGCGATGAAGGCTTTGCTTTAACACCTAATCTCCTACGTCCATATGGAGGTACACATTTGAATACTGATAAAAAGATTTTTAACTATAGACTAAGTCGAGCAAGAAGGTATGTTGAGTGCGCTTTTGGTATTCTGGCAAATAAGTGGCGAATAATCCATCGAGCTATAGATCTCAACGTAGACACAGCAATTCAAGTAATTAAAGCTTGTGCAGTCTTACATAATTTTGTAAGAGAAAAAGATGGTATAAATTTTGAAAGTTACCAAAATATAGAACATAGACAAGAACAAGAAACTACACCCATGAATCGAAATGTGTCGAGTCGAGGTGGCCCTAATGCCAACGCTATACGGACATCATTTACTAATTATTTTGTTTCAGATATTGGTTCCGTTCCGTGGCAGGCAGCAGCTATAAAATAAAATTTATCAATGCATTTACATTTTATCAATAAAACATTAAAAACTCACCGTACTGTTTTCTTTCTTTTTCATCCAGTTCATCGAAGTTTGGTTTCAGTATTAAACATACTTCACGCCATGCTGCTAACTTTAAGTTTTTGTCTTTATAAACGTCTTCGGTCTTATCCCACAGAACAGGTCTCTCTTGGACAAGCGTAATTAAAGTTTCTGCTTGAATATCCATGCTAAACGTCTACTTTTACCAGAACATGCGAGCCGAATGACGTGAGTGGAACACGGGCGGGGCGAGGGGAGCACGAGCAGGGCGAGCGGGGGACAGATACCGGCACAAACTCGTTCACATTACTCCGGGCCCGGTCGTTCTACCGGCAATTCGTAGTGACAAAACGTTCGGTAGAAATGCCGGGCTCGGCAAAAATGCCGGACCCGGGATAATGTGAATAGCTTCATATAAATTGTACAGCCACTAGCTCTTCCGGCAGATTTACCGGCGCGGCAGATCTGCCGGTCCGGCGTAGTGGGAACCCGGCCTAACGCGTTGCGTCTCCGGCAACGGACGGGTACCCCGCAGTGGACGGGGCTAGCCGTCCACCGCTGCCCCTACTTCACCCCCTCAAATACCTACAATTCGTGCTAGGATAGGGCCTTAAGCCTATTATCGCTTAATCGATCCAAAAAACTATAGGTACTACTAGATTGGTAAATAATAAGAGATACCTACTGACTTCAAATGAAATGTTTTGATTTTATTTATAGGAAATTCATAAAAGTCCGATTTTTATTGATGACACGTTTGGTGGTTTTGATCTCGATTATGGACGACTCGGTAAGTTGTTCTATTTATTTAGTTCGCGTACTACGTAAATTATTTATTGAAATAAGGTCCTTTTTGTGTTTTGCGTTGTTCGAAAGGTGACCACCGTTTGGATTAATACTAATACTATACTAATAATTCAGATAATTAATAATAACGCAATATAAGAAATGAATACTTACCTACGAGTTAAACTTAAAGTGTATTTTTAAGGAGCTTTGTGGCTAGTCGGTTGTATGGAGGTTCTCCACAAGTTTAAGGTAATTTTCGAACATGTCGTGCCAGTAGACCAAGACTTCAGTTCAAATTATGCCGGGATGTTCAGGTATTCTATACAGTAGTTACAATAAAGGGAGGGTCAGGTCAACTGACACTATGCAAGAACATCTGTGCATAGTCAAAGCTGATGCAGAGTCACGGTGGGATCACTTCTAGCTCTCTGGGGAGTGTTTCCTGTCCAAATGCCGAGAAACGCTTTTACTACACCCGGTGGCAGGGTTTAAGAAGGTAACATCAGCATGTCCTAGCTGCTCACGTCCACGTCGTGGCTCCCGGGCAATGCTGCACCAATCGTTCTCAAGCGAGTGCCACTTTCATTACTTCTCGCGGTGCAGTAGCTGAATCAGCAGGGCAAAGGCGAGTTTCTGGCGCCGTAAAACCAGATCGAACAGAGGAGGGACAATACCCGAAATTAAAGGGCCAGGCACAGGGCCTTAGACGGCAGCCCCGTCAAGTGTCTAAACTGCGATGCGCTAATCATCTGCTCCGTCAAAAATCAACCGATTAAGAAACCTAAATTACATAAAACCGGACCGATTTCATCTAAACGAACTGGCAAGAATAAGGACAATGTTTTTCGCCTATGCACGTGGAATGTCAGAACATTAAACAGACCTGGGGCTTTAAGAATTCTCATGGAACAAATTACACCATATAGACCAGATATATTGGCGCTGCAAGAAATGAGATGGACAGGGAGTGGATGCATACAAAAAAGAAACTTAACCGTATACTACAGCGGCCATGAGAGACACCATAAGCTAGGTATAGGTTTTGTAGTGCGTAAGACAGCCCAAACCAAAGTAATTGACTTTAAGGCTGAGTGATCGCCTATGCGTGCAGCGCTGCAAGGATAAATTCTTTAATTACAGCATAATCAACGCCCATGCACCAACGGAAGAACACTCTTGAAAACACCTACCATCAGTGCCCGAATAGGGACATCAAAATCATCATTGGAGATATGAACGCACAGGTGGGAAGAGAGGAGTTCTATAAACCAACAATCGGATTGCATTGAAAGAAGAAGTAAGCGACATAGAACGTCTGTACAAAATGACGGACCTTCGACTTTTCTACAATAAAGTGAACTTTGGGAGAACAGAATTCAAACCTAGAACAACTGCATGCCGTAACATAGATGGTGAAATTGTAAATGACCTCGATGAAAAGATGGGCCGAGCACTTCATTGAACTGCTAAATGGAACTACTGCCAATTCAAACGTTACTCCTAACCAAGATGACTCGACACTTGACACTAATCGGAGAGATGACGAATTCTTACCAACGGCTGAAGAAACTGCATCTGCTATACAGTGTCTTAAGAACCAAAGGTCCTTAGAATATGATGGGATACCGCCAGAACTCTTAAAACAGGGTGGCCCCAGCCTTGTTCGTGTTCTTCACGCGCTTATAGAGAGGGTGTGGGTTGATGAGACTATGCCAGAAGATTGGAACTCGGGTGTAATCATACCCTTACATAAGAAAGGTGACACTTTGGACTGCCATAATTACAGAGGCATCACGCTACTTAATACCGAAGTTCTCTCCAACTTAATTTATTACCTAACTAAGCTTCAGCCATATGTCGAGAACACAATTGGTCAGTATCAATGTGGTTTCCGTCGTAACAGATCTACTATGGACCAAGTTTTCGCACTCAGGACGATATTAGAAAAGATGACGGAATTCGGAATACCAACACACCATCTTTTTAATAGATTTTAAATCAGCTTACGATTGCGTTCTACGTCCTAAACTTTACGAGGCAATGACGATGGCTAACACCACTAATTGTGTAAAGATACAAAGTGACTTCTCCCCCGCATTTACCACGTATAATGGCCTTAGACAGGGTGACGCACTTGCATGCCTACCGTTCAACTTAACATGGTGTGTTGGCAATGCAGAAATGCATTAGAAATGCCGAACTAGAAGTCAGAGGTACTATATTTTATAAGTCCACTCAATTACTGGGGTATGCAGACGACCTGGATCTAGTCACACGAAACAAAAACCAATTAGCGGAATGTTTTAAAAGCCTCCGAAAATCAGCCAGTTCCATGGGCCTGTCAGTAAATGTGGAAAAAACAAAGTATATGACGACAACACCATTAGGAGCAAGAAATCCCTTTGTCGTGGAAGATGTGATGTGATGCTTTGAACGATGTGACGAGTTTGTTTACTTGGGCTCAATGGTGACTAGTGATAACAATCCCAGCCGAGAGATCAGTAGACGCATCATGATGGCAAACCGCTGCTACTTTGGCCTTCGCAGAAAAGACAGAGAAAATCTAGAAACAGGGAAATAAAAAAGATGAAGGATATAGTTTCAAAGCTTAAAACTAAACTAAATACTCAGCGTCAAAAATATAAACGAGTCAAAAAACAGCTAAAAAAAGTAATAAAACCTGTTGAAAAAACGCCAAAGACCAGAATTAAAGACATGATTAAAGCTATAACTAAAAGAAAGAATTAGTAAAGAAAGCCCTTTTTTGGGGAAGTTATTAAAACACAATTGTAAGAAAACTACACTTAACTAAAGACTCATGAAGAAAGACAAAACTTTAAACAAGTAATATCTGGGAATGTAGTAGACAAATACAAACTATGGAGTATAAAAAACAAAGCAGTCACCTATAAAAAAACTGGACTCGATCGGCACGAGGAACTAGCGGTCATTTGGACCGTCTTCAAAATTATTATAGTAGTGGTGATTATGTTTTGGTCAAATATCTCACAAAGAAAACAGAATATCATTATGCAGCGGTCTTCTCTTCGGTTGACGATGAAGACAGTGAAGAGTAGACAGTAACTTTTCTCAAAATTTGTAACCAGAATGGCACTCTGTTTAAATTGGATGCAAAAGATGTGTCAGATATTTCTGTGGATCAAATAAAAAACAACCCGTACCAAACCTCATTACAAAAGGGAAGATAGTTTTTTACCAATTTAAAGAAAATATTGATGTTTTCGAGAAGTAACTTTTTATTTTTGCACTATTTTAAACCTTTATTTTACTTATTTTTGTGGAGCAAAAGATCTCATTATATTTTTATTATTATTATGTCTTTAGGTGCTTTTAAGGCATAGCTTTTAATATGTACTTGATTTATTAGAAAAATACGTACTGATAAGTAATATAACTTATAAAAATGTCAAAAGGCTGTTTTGATAATTAAAATAGTATTTTCTCCCAGTGTTACATATTAATAATTAGATTTAATTGTAACAAAGTTATTTTAATACTTAAAAGACATGTGCCTTTGTTAAATCCAAACAGATGTATACAAATTTTTATAAAATTTTATTATAATCTTACAAAATTGAAAAAACTGCTACTGAAAAAAGTGACTGGCCCGATTTGGAACAATATATTCATTAGATTAGGCATCATATTTACCCGATTTTGTGGAACTGTGATTTAATAACTATTATAAACAAAATATCCTCAAGAGTTACCCAATTTTTGTATAATCACCCATATATAACAACACACAAATATACAGTATTTACAATATTCTTAACCTACGTAGTTATACTAACTAAAAATTGATAAATACAAAAATTGAAGCAGTTTGGTCCCTGTGGCAGTGTACCTTAAATGCTGGCAGCAATTCCTCGCTGTATTGCGATTCTTATTCGTTGAGCGAGGAAAGCACCAGCTCTGGGGTCACCGGTAGGTACTATCTATCAGGCGCCAAATTAAATCTTTAATTAGCGCCTGTACACTTAACTCAACGGTCCAGTCGTACTAATTGTCGTCTACATCAAAGGGAACAAAATCGAAGTTGGTGGAAAGACTTGATTTGAGACTTTTACAATAATGTATAATTCCAATACTTCAGATTTCGTATATGGTGGAAATGGGAAGTAGTATTGGTTGATGATAGATTACCAACTGTGAATGGAGAGCTCGTTTTCACACACAAAACTTGTGAATCTATTGCCCAGTTTTATGATTTATCGAACGTTACTAAAATTATATTGCTCATATTACAATGATATAGTGAATTTTATTATAATCTTACAAAATTGTGTATTTTATCAGTTCTATGTTGCCCTCGTCAGAACCCTGGCAGTCAAATTCTGAAAGTTTTAAATATCTCACAATCTACTGAAAAAAGTGACTGGCCCGATTTGGAACAATATATTCATTAGATTAGGCATCATATTTACCCGATTTTGTGGAAATGTGATTTAATAACTATTATAAACAAAATATCCTCAAGAGTTACCCAATTTGTGTATAATCACCCATATATAACAACAAACAAATATACAGTATTTACAATATTCTTAACCTACGTAGTTATACTAACTAAAAATTGATAAATACAAAAATTGAAGCAGTTTGGTCCCTGTGGCAGTGTACCTTAAATGCTGGAGCTCTCCCTCCTGGACCGCGGAAGCGTTTAGACGTGTGCATTCTATTTGTTTTATAACTTAAAAATCAAATTAAAAATAAATTCCGTGCGAATAAATTAAGGTGTGTACCAGGAGCGCATGAGTTGCGTGCAGTAAGTGCATCTGTGCGAACGGGACAACACTTGTGAGACAGCTTAAGTTGTACGCTCCGTCTGCGCGCATCATTGATACGCAAGCTTTGTAAGTTGCCGTAATTCATAAGCGATAGCGGGTAGCGGAAATTTATAGGGGGCTGGTCCAAGTTTATTTTTTCGTGTACTCTGGTGTCATCTTTTGTCAGAAATATGCCTCTTAAGCGCACACCTCCCAGCACCCCCACTCCCGAAGACTTAAAGGAAGCTAGGTTGAACGCGCCGAAAGCTTCTTTTTCGGGCTCCGCGCCAGATTTATCTAATGAGGAGCGAAGCAATGTAACTATGAGGCGCAAGCAGGATGAGTCCTATATTAAAAAATTCATAACCGAAATTAAGGATATGCTTGCTAAAGCAAACTCTCAAAATGAAAGTAAATTCACCTCCTTGCAATCCTCCATGAGAGAAATCTTGACACAAAATACAGAAATAAAAGACTCCATTGCTTTTGTCTCTAAGCAGTACGAAGATATGAAAGCTAAATACGAGAAATTGGAAAAACAGAGGAATGAAGATCGTCTGTATATTGATCAGCTTGAAAAGAAAATCGAGTCGCTGGAACGAACGTCTGCCTCAACTAAACTTGAACTAAGAAATATTCCTAAGATTACCGGTGAAAATAGGGATAGTTTATGTAACATTGCTTCAAAAGCTGCAGATGTTATTGATTTTCCCATACAGAAACAGGATATTAAGGATATTTATCGTACAAAAAGTAAAACTGGACATGGAGCAATTATTGTGGAATTGGGCAGCGTTATATTGAAAGATGGTATTATTGAAAAGGCACGCAAATTTAACAAAATGAATTCTGCTAACAGATTGAACACGGCACACTTAAGTTTGGAAGGACCAGCAAAGCCATTTTTTATTTCAGAATGTCTATCACCCTGCGGAAAACGATTAAATTATCTGGCTCGTGCATTTGCTCAGGAAAATGGATATAAATTCTGCTGGACCTCATTTGGAAGAACCTACCTGAGACAAGATGAAGGTAAACGGCATATTAGAATTGATAGTGAGGGTGATTTAAATAAACTTCGTCTAAAACAATGACTTTTTGAGGCCCCCAGGAAACTCCGCCGGCCTACGATAACTTTCCTGTTTGTGAAAATCCGGCACTTAATTATTGTTTTTATAGATATTATTTTATTTTTTTATATATTATATTATTGTTTTTCTTTATATACATACTTATACTCTGTTCATTGTATTGTATTTTACATAACTAAAAAATTATACATTCTTAGTCTAGTGATCATGTTGAAATCGAGATCTTATCTTTGTAAAAATGTTAGCATTTCTCAGACACGAGTAGCTGCGACAAAAAGCTTAATATTTTACAAATGGCTAGATTTATTGATAATATAAATAATGATATTGATAATATAACAGTGGCAACTGCCTACAGTTGTGATATAAAAAATTGTAATGATTTAGTAAAAAAATCAGGAAACTCCCTAAAAATTATAACACAAAATATCCGTAGCGTTTACAAAAATATTGATGCATTCTTGGCCCATATAGCTCGTCTGTACTTTGATCCAGATATAATAATTTTAACTGAATGCTGGTTAAACGACAATAAACCCATACCCAGTCTCAAGGATTATAATTCTTATTTCACAAAAAAATGCTTAAATCAAAATGACGGTATTATAATTTATGCTAAACAAAATATAAATTGCGAAATTGAAGAACCTAATCCTAAAGATGCTAACTTTCTGCTAGCTAAAATAGTACCAGATATTGTACTTTTAGCTATTTATAGATCACCATCCTTTTACTACACTGAGCGCTTTTTGAATGCTTTGAATGATATTGTTAAATCTATATCATCTAAGAATATATTTTTAATAGGTGATATAAATATCGATATAAAACCTGGAAACGGTGACAGAAACAGTAACTCTTACTTAAATTTAACCAGTGAATTGGGTTTTCTGCCAGGCCACACATATCCAACACGATTAAGCAATTGTCTCGATCATGTAATGGTTAAAACTGTTTTACAAACTAGTGTTATAGTGATAAATTCCACCGTAACTGATCACGACTCTATTCTAATAAATCTATCCCTTAACAGTAAACGGACTAATACTCAGTGCCCTTCTATTGTTGAAAGAGTAAATTTTAGTGAAGCTATAAAATATGTTGAATTGGCTGATTTTACTTTTATGACTAACAAGCAAGACGCCGAGTCTGCTGCGACTCGATTTGTTGAAATTCTGTCATCTGCTATTAAAGCTAACACTGAAAAAGTCCGTGTACCCAGGCGCAAAAAATCTCTTAAGCCCTGGATGACTCCGGGCCTACTTCGCTGTATCCGTCACCGGGATAAACTGCATCTTAATTTAAAAAGGGACCCCCAAAATGAAATTCTTAAAATAACCTATAAAAGGTACAGGAATTTTTGTTGCTCATTACTTAGAAAATTGAAGCGCGAACACGATAAATTCTTATTAAAAAGTGCAAAATCAAATAAAGAAACCTGGGCTGCAATAAAATATGTCACCGATAGTTCAAGTAAAAAATCTTCTGCCGATGAGTTAATTAGGAATTGTAACGCATTGGATGCGGTTGAGGACATAAATAGTTATTTTTCTAATGTTGGTAGAGAGCTAGCTGAAAAACTTACAGGGTGTAAGTATAACTACAAATGTACAAAATCTAATTGCTTGACTAACTCCTTCGTACTAATGCCACCAGATGAGGCTGAGGTGGAATCTCTCATCTTAAGCTCAAAAAATGATTGTGCCACTGGTTGGGACTCTATACCAGCTCGATTTCTAAAAATGGTAAGACATGTCATTGTATCGCCGCTTACTATCTTGTTTCAAACATGTGTGAGGGAAGGCTGCTTTCCAAAAGTCTTTAAAAGGTCTCTCATTACTCCTGTTCACAAGGGTGGGGCACGGGATTGTGTTGCAAACTACAGACTGATTTCTGTGCTTACAGCACTATCAAAAATCCTAGAAAAGATGCTTAACGTGAGGTTAATACAGTTTTTAAATCGGTACAATATTCTGTCCAGCTCACAATTTGGTTTCAGAATGGGTATGTCAACAGAAGACGCTGTGGGTAGCTTGGTTGAGTTTGTCACAGAAAAACTTGACAGGAAAAAAAGTGCCTTGGTGTCTTCCTCGATCTTGCCAAGGCATTTGATACCGTCTCAATTCCTATACTTGTGGACAAATTGGAGCGAATTGGAATAAGAGACTCAGCCCTGCTTATTTTTAAAGATTTCCTTAGTGGTCGGGTGCAAAGGGTTAAGATTAATAATTATATTAGTTCCGACGCAAATGTAACTTTTGGAGTTCCGCAGGGCAGTATTCTTGGTCCAAGTCTTTTTCTTATTTACATAAACGACCTATGTAATTTGTCCCTAACTAGTTGCAGGTTGTTTACCTATGCCGATGATACGGCTATAGTTTTTTATGGGGACACCTGGACCGAGATACAAAATATTGCCGAAAGCGGACTGCAGAAGGTGGCTAGATGGCTCAGGGAAAATTTACTTACTTTAAATATTTCTAAAACTTCGTATATTCAGTTCCAAACTATTAATTCCCATATGACTGATATTAATCTTAAAATACACATATGTGTCTCTGAGCGAAATTGTACTTGCATTAATATAACAAAATCCAATACCATTAAATACCTCGGTATCGAATTAGATAATAAATTGAGTTGGCTACCTCACATTGAGATTATAACGGCACGCACGCGAAAACTAATCTGGACATTCAAAAAATTACGTTATGCCGCGGAATTTGAACTACTCCGCACTGTTTACTTTGCCTTAGTAAAATCGGTTATTGGATACTGCGTGAGCGTGTGGGGTGGAGCGTGCAAGTCACATCTAATTCAGCTTGAAAGAGCCCACAGATCTTTACTAAAAGTAATGACTTTCAAACCCTTCAGATTTTCAACCACACTTTTATATAAACAGTGTGAGCTCCTCAGTGTTAGACAGTTATTCGTCTTTAATATAATAGCCAAACAACATGTCCATACCCCTTATAACCCAGAGGTTTGCAGTAACAAACGCTGTATACCAAATGTACTCCCCACAGCAAAATTCCGTACTACCTTCGCAAGGCGACAACGAGCATATCTCTCAGTCTTTCTATATAATAAAATAAACAAAAAATTAAATTTCTACCCTCTTTCACTACATGACTGCAAATCAATTGTTAAGACTTGGCTTTTGTCCTTAAATTATGAGGAAACAGAAGATCTATTTAACTAACATGCTACAATAATGTTTTAGTTATTTTGATTCATTAATTATGTGTATAATTTATATATTTATACTAGTGTTACATATACCCATATGTAAAATGTATAATTATGTATATTTATGTATTATGTATATTTATGTATTTTAGTATTTTATGTGTATGTACCTATCTTATTACCTATTATATTCATTGTAATTTATACTGAAACATTTTTTTCAATATATGTTATTTTTGTTTAAGTATATTATGTGTAACAGGATAATTAGATGTAATATCTGGAATTTACAAATGTCTATAAAAAGTATTGTCTTGTAAAATTTTGAATAAGCTCTCTTGACACTTGTTACGAATTATATTGGGAGAAGCCACTGACTCCTGAGATACAGGCACTAAAGCCTAGTTTAGGTGTCAGAGTCTTCATAGGATTTCTGTAATTACAAATATGTCAATAAAGATTATTATTATTATTAAAAAAAAAAAAAAAAATTCCTCGCTGTATTGCGATTCTTATTCGTTGAGCGAGGAAAGCACCAGCTCTGGGGTCACCGGTAGGTACTATCTATCAAGCGCCAAATTAAATCTTTAATTAGCGCCTGTACACTTAACTCTACGGTCCAGTCGTACTAATTGTCGTCTACATCAAAGGGAACAAAATCGAAGTTGGTGGAAAGACTTGATTTGAGACTTTTACAATAATGTATAATTCCAATACTTCAGATTTCGTATATGGTGGAAATGGGAAGTAGTATTGGTTGATGATAGATTACCAACTGTGAATGGAGAGCTCGTTTTCACACACAAAACTTGTGAATCTATTGCCCAGTTTTATGATTTATCGAACGTTACTAAAATTATATTGCTCATATTACAATGATATAGTGAATCGTGTCCAGATATGAGTGCAAGTTGTTGGACAAAGTAATTGACATCAATTATTCTACGTCCAATCACTTTTTGTTGCTGGTGTTCTGGCGTTTCCTGTTCAGTGATATAAGGCAAGAAGTGTTGCCAATACAGGTTTATCCACGTTCATGGTGTTATTGCAAACGGACGTACTGCAATAGATATTAGAAGATATAAGTATATTTAGCTTAGAAGTTAAGAAATATATAAATATCTGATTACAGCGTATAAAGTTTGCCGCTCGCGCTTAGGGCTCCGGGAGTCTCTGATACTTACGTTTGATGTTCGTGGATCAAATCGTTGTTGTTTACTTCGACGTTGGTCATGGTCGCAAATGTATTACGAGATCTATAATAAATAAATGGTTTTAGACTTGCTATAAACATATACATTAGGTAAAATAATTTTTCAAAGACCAAATTAGACCATCAAAAGAAAATAAAACACTATTGTTATTAGATAACCACGCTTCACACATAGCAGTTAAAACTATCGAGTTCTGCAGGGAAAATGGCATAATTCTATTGACCTCTCTTCACCCATAAGTTGCAGCCAATGGACGACGACAATTGGTTGCGGTCTAATCCAGGAAAAGTAATGTCCATCTATGATATCCCTGGGATAGTGAAAACATAGTTTGATATAGCCGTCACATCTTCAGGATTTATTCATACCGGACTTTGGCCAGTTAACACTGAAATATTCCAGGATGCAGATTATTTTCCGAGTCAAATTACTGATCGACCTTTGGCAACTTCTGTTAGTCCTGGTCCATCCAACTCTAACTTGATGGGAATTTCAAGAAGTGAAGAACCCGCGCCATGTCCTACTTCTGGCACAAGTGATGAACGTCCCCTTGCAAACAGTATTTTACAACTATCACGATGCCTTCAATTGCCGAATGTGTTGTTTCCTCCAGTCTTTACGTCTGATATAAGAGTAGCATCTACATCACGAGATACTTCAGTTGCTGTGACAGCAATTCCATTCTCACCTGAAACTCTTAGACCTTTACTAAAGGCTCCACCAAGGAAAGGACATCAAACAAATAGACGCAAAGTGAAATTCGCTATCTTTACCGACACTCCCGTTAAGGATGAACTAGCTGCAATCGAAGCAGCTAGAACGGTGAAGAAAAAGGTGAAAAAACCTAACTTTGAAGAAACGAAAATAAGAAAAAGATAAAAACCAGGCACTAAAACTAAAAAGATGAAGGTTGTCAAGAAACTAAAAGGAAACGAAAACAGTGAAGAAGAATCCTTTCTTCTCTGTTGTTTTGAGCCATATTCAAATAGCAGAGCCAAAGAAAAATGGATGCAATGTTTGGAATGCAATAACTGGGCTCAAGAAGGTTGCACTGGTTGGGAACTTTCCTATGTTTGCCAAAACTGCTTGTCAGATTGTCGTTTTTTTATTTTCATAAATTTTTAATGTTTGACATTAGTGAGATTATTGATACTTAAATATTTGAAGAAATATTGATTGTCTTAGGCGCGCGCGCATTGAGGTGTGTCCTGTGATTTTGTTACGGAGCTATCTCAGCGACGTATAAATTTCGTTAAATAAAATGACGGACGTTGTGAAGTGCAATGTTTGCAACATTGTTATACTAACAAAATATTGAGTTTCTTTTCAATATTGCTTAAGTCACAATGTCGGTATAAATCAAACTCGTCTAAGTCCGATTCTACCAATGACAGACAGCTCTGCGCATTGTCATGGCCGCCATCGTTTGCATAAACTGGTGTTTTTATCGTGTAGTTCTATCGTATGCTTTAATTTTTATCAAATTATGGAAGAAAAAATAATGTTGTGGAACCAGAATTAGCGACTTAAAAAATTTAATATGTTATCTCTGTACAATCGGAAAACTCTAGCCGGTGTTACCTTCTAGCATAAATTGCTCAATAGCCATATACAGAGTAGTGACCTCTTACAGGATATCAAAATTGTCGTCCCTTACAATGAGTAAGGGACGACAATTTTGAATTTTTCTAGGTTCTAGGTTTCTAGGTTCCTAGGTTCAAAATCAACAATATCTTCCAAATTCCTTCTGCCAAATCGAACCTAGGAGTTCAGGCACTCCTCGTTCGAATTTTTCGCGATTTTAACTAATTGAACACAGCTTATCCGGAGCTGGATATATTTGGTAGTGGGCTGATCGGTTTTAGAGAAAGCATTGTGGGGTGCCTTTCTCGAACCTAATTTCGCTGGTTTGCTGATGATTTTTCTTTTTTTTCTGCTCTAAGTGCCAACAAATTTCTGTTTAATTTTATTTTATTTTATTGTGTGCTTGTATTATCGTATATGTTTTAATTGTATTTTTTCATTTTAATTTCTATTTAATTTTTTTTTGAGAAACTTATGTTTACATTAATTGTCACACATTTTAGATGTAAGATTTTGTAAAATAATTAGTAGATTTAGTACTGTGTGTGATGTAGTAAGCTTAATAACTAAATAAATATATACCTAAAAAAAGTCAAAGTTGAAGCTTAATGAAAAACATAAGAAAAGACAAAAGGACTTGTAATTTCATTTTGCTTGAGTTGTGTTGTGGTCATGTAGTGATTCATACCGTTCCATAACAGGGCTTGACTTCAAATACTAGTAGATATTAACAACTCCGGGTTCACAGTTGTGTGTTTATAAAATGGAAAGTATATATTTTACTATTATTTTTACTTAGTTACCCAAAATTAACCTTTTTAAGCTACTTTTTTTTAAATAAAGGGTTTATAGTAATAAGAAAAATGTAATAATTAATTATTAAATAAATCCCTTACCTAAATCTTTTCACTAATTATTTTTTTATTTTTTTTTATAATGTTATAAAGTTATAGATACGATTTCTGCCCCATATACCTACTATTTACGTTTTCCCTAGATAGTTCCCAAGTCATGTGTCTATTATTGATACATGTATTTGTTTCTTAAGTTAGTATTGATGTTTTCAAGTACTCTGCAAAAAGCTTACCAGAAGAACCGAAGGGTCAACACGACAAAAAAGTATATACAAATGTGATGTGAAATTCAAACGACATTTTTTACTTTCACTAAAAGTTTTACAGTCATCCTAATAAAATTAGTCAGGACAACTATATTTTGCAACATTTAGTTTAGAACCCTGTTAAAAGGAAATGCCCAAGAAATAATACTCGAAATGGGCGCACTTTTTCAAAACAGTATTTTATTAGGAAGCACAAAACCAAAGAAAAAGTTCCTGTCTGCCTCGCTGCATTTTGTGGGATATTAAAAATTAAACAGGGCCGTATAAAAGGGGTTTCTAATCGGTTCGCAGCAACAGCAGAAACCCCATCAGAAAAACGAAATTTGTGATGAAATTTCAGTCTCTAGAAAGCCATTATTGTAGAGGCAAAATAAAAAGGAGAATATATTTGAATCAAAGCCTAAACATCTCTAAATTATACAAAATGTATAAGGACCAGTCGATGCCGGGGTACTCGGTGACTAAAAGTTTTTTCAGACAGGTTTTTAATACCTCCTTCAATATTGGGTTCGGTTCTTCTCGCTAAGACGTGTGTTCCGATTGCTTGCAGTTGTTAGAAAAGATAAAAATACAACAAAGTGAAATTGTGAAACTGAAATTGCGTACGCTACGGATACACAAAATTAGAGCAAAATGCTTTTTCGAAAAATTGAGAGAAGCTGACCCAGAAACCCTTATTTTACTTTTGACTGTCAGAAGAATTTACCGTTGCCAAAAGTAGCTGACCAATCAGCTTATTATTCTCGGCAGTTATATATATATAACTTCACCATTGTTGAGGGAAACTCTCACGCTAGCCTCACCAAAAAAATTCCTATGTTTGGACAAAAGACATAGCATCTAAAGGCGCTAATGAAATATCATCTTGTTTATTCCATAGCCTGAATCAATCAAATCTTAATGGCAAAAGACTTATGGCTGACGGTTGCGGCGGCCAAAATAAAAATTCAATACTTCTTGGAATGGTTTCTAAATAGCTGTATGATTCACAATCTAGCGTAGAGCAAGTAGAGATTGTCTTTCCAGTTACTGGGCATAGCTTTATTCCATCAGATCGACTATTAGGTTTGACCGAAAAAAACATAAGACGGCTAGAAACTATATGCAATCCTCAGACCTATATTGATATCATGACATCTAATGCCACTACTCGACGTTTAGTAACTGAAGTATCTATTTTCGATTGGCAGACTGCGTGTAGAGATGTGCTAAAAAGTACTCAAACATCACATTTCCAGATAAGTAAAACGAAAATCCTATATAGCGTTATTAAGTTCTTATGAGAAATAAAGTTCTTTAAACCTAAAATGGTTCGAGGTGAAATTTCCTATAGAAATTATTCTTGCAATCCTCAGACAGCAGAAATACCATATCCTCAAATTTTGTTAGCAGTGACTTAAGCACGTTTGATAAGTATCGACACAATTAATGAAAGATACCACTAAATTTGAGACTTCTATGAATGATGTGGAACGGATTGCGTGGAAATCTTTTGTAGCAGTTGTATAGAAGGAAATCCTGGGAAATCATAAGGCTGAGAACTATGTAAAATTAGTAGAAGATATGCTGGTTCGATTCAACGATTTAGGCTGTAATATGAGTATGAAATTTCACTATCTCAACAGTAATCTAGATCAATTCCAACACAATTTAGGAGACCTAAGCTAAGAACGAGGAGAACGATTTCACCGAGACAAAAACAATGGAGAATATATACCAAGGAAGATGGGACAGTCATATGATAGCCGAGTACTGTTGGGGAATCATGCCAGATTGCCCAAGTCAATTTAATTCGAGAAAATAGCTGTAAAGACAATTTCTTGATGTTTAATGCCATAAAAATATATATATTTATTGTAAAAAATGATTTTTTATTTAATAAAAAAAATTATTTAAAAAACCGATTATATTTTTGATTTCACCATTCATTCTTACATGCTTAAAGTCAGGTCTAAAACCCCCGGCACCAAAATGGTTGTAGGCCAGTGTAATTGGTATTGATTTTTCAAACTTGTATATAACCTTATTGTGTATTGTAGAAATAAACGTCATATTGATAATAATTTAACGTCAATTTCAGCTATTGTTAAAACGGTTAGATGTAAAGATATTTTATCTGTTAAAGTACTTACTGGTGAATCTGTGTATCATACAATTTTTAAATGAATTTCCAATTTGTACTCGTAACGCTACACCGTTCACCAGATACGCACTACACCAGGTCTCCCGTATCTTGCACTCCACGTCGACTAGCTCCCAGATAAGCTTATAATTGCTAAAAAAGAGTTTGAATCTATGATTGCTTCTGGTATAGCTTTACCATCAGAGAGTCCATCGTCTCCTCCTTTACATTTAGCTCCAAAGAAAAATAATGGATGGCGTCCGTGCGGTGATATCGTAGACTGAATTCTAGCACTGTACCCGACAAATATCCAATCAGACACATCCATAATTTTACTTCTAACATTTCTGGTTTTAAATCTTCTCCGCCATTGATCTGGAGACAGCCTACAATCAGATCCCTACTAGTCCTGCCATCCATAGCCTGCTATCACGACACTCTTTGGATTATTTGAATTTCCATATTTGTTTTCCATTTTTCCAAATTACATGTGGGTTGGATTTCGTCTACTGTTATGTCGATGGTTTCTTGGTATTTTCCAGGAGCGGTGAGGAGCACGAGTAACATTTACGCGAACTTTTTACGGTTATGGTAATTAAAATACGGTATGCTTGTAAATACTTCCAAATGCGTTTTTGACGTAAAGGAAGTGGAATTTTAAGGCTACTCTATCTATGAAGGTGGTACGAAACCGTTAGCCCAAGGTACAATTTTACTTAGTGCAAGGTTCAAGTTCAAGGTGCAAGTTCTCTAAGAGAACCAAGAGCACGAAGTAGAAAAAGAACAAAGTAATGCCCGTTTTAAAGTACACAAAAATATTCACAAAGATGATCCTTCAACTAGCACAAAGGCTAGTTTTGATCTCGAAAAAGTATTAAACACACCTTTTGCCCAATATATAGCAAATAGCAGTGTATAATTTATGTGTTTACGAAAATGGAACTCGTAATGTTTTCTGTTTCTACTGGGATGAGAGCAACGGAAAGCGTGGCGCTAACGAGATTGCGACTATAATGCATAAATATATTCAATCAGTGGATGCTAGAGGGAACGTCACTCGATTACTTCTTTACTGCGACTGTTGTCCGGGCCAAAACCGCAACCGTACTGTATTGGCAATGTTGCACTCCTCATTACAAGCGTGTTTAAATATAAACACTATTCAAATAAACTTTCTCTTGGCTGGATACACTTATATGCCCGTGGATAGTGTTCATGCTATAATTGAAAACAGATTAAAAACAACTATTTATGCCCCATCACAATGGTTTACAGTTATTGCAACGGCTAGGCAGAAACCATCACCTTTCGCCGTTGAGTTACGAAGATTTTTATAAATGGGATAGTATTAGTGACACATATTTTAAGGGTAATCTAACAGGAAAAATAAGCAAGATCCGTGTTATGACTTTTAGAAAGTACAAGCAAGTTGTTAAATATAAAACATCTATGAATGCAACTGCAGCATCTTTTGATGTTGAAGTTCAGTCAAAAGCTAAGGTATCACTTTTACCCTGTTATAGATCTCAGCTGCCCATAACAAAAGCTGATCTAGTCAAACTTTGTACTGATAAAGTCATTCCTAATTGCTTCAAACATGAATTTGTAAACATTCCACGTGCAAAAAATGTCAAAGATTGTCTACCTGAATCAGATTTTGAAGATAGTGAATGTAACATTTAAATAAGGTACATTTTTAAAACGAGATCTTATGATATTTTGTAGTTTTTGAACACTGATTGATTAATTATCCCTTCCTTAAAAATTATTTAAGCATTAATGTTGCTGTTATTTGTAAGGATGTTTTGTTTGCCAAAGGTTTACTTTATGTTATATTAATGCAGAGCACATGAGCTACTTTTTTTGTTATTGTTTTTGAAGACTGGTTTTGATACTAATATTGATCTAATTTTATGTCTTAAAGTTCCGAACTACATAAATTAATAAGTGTTCTATAATAATAATATTGTTTTGATTTTATAGATTTATTTTAAATAAAGAATTTTATTCAACAAAACTTTGTTTAATTTCATGTTTGTTATATGCGTTATTAATTTTTTATTACTTTTAGCAAAATACTGTCGGTTAAGAAGGATTCGCATTCATTTTATCTATTAAGCTACATTTTATGTGGTTTATACTAAATGTACAATAACATTTATACAACTTACCTTGATGTTTTTATAAACTATTAGATCATTTAGTTAAATATTTCTGTATATATATTCTACCTGTACCTCTTACAGGAAATCAAATTTGTCGTTCCTTACTTTATTCCCTAGGTTTAAATTCAACAATATCTTCCAAATTCCTTCTGCAAAAACCAACCTAGGAGTTCAGGCACCTCTCGGTCGAATTCTTCGCGATTTTAACAAATTGAACTCAGCTTATCCAGAGCTGGATATATTCGGTAGTGGGCTGATCGGTTTTAGAGAAAGCATTGTGGGGTGCCTTTCTCGAACCTGATTTCGCTGTTTTGATGATGATTTTTCATTTTTTTCTGCTCTAAGTGGCAACAAACTTCTGTAATTTTATTTTATTTTATTGTGTGCTTTTACTATCGTATTGTATTTTTTAATTTCAATTTTTTTTTTTGTGAAACTTATGCTTACATTAATTGGCACACATTTTAGATGTGAGATTTTGTAAAATAATTAATAACTAAATAAATAAATAAGCCTTTTGAATTTATCTATTTCTACCTGTTGCCGCAGAAATTTTAATGATAGCTTATATAATTTTACATATTGCTGCTAATATTTCGGAAAAAAATTATATAATTTCACTTGTTATTACAAAACTTTCATTCTTAGCTTAGATAATTTTACCTGTTTATCATAAGGGAATTTTTTTTATCTAAGCGACATAAAGTGCCTTTTATACAAAAGCTACATGGCTTATTTTAATATTTTCATAAATAGTTATAAAAAATACATATATACGTATGTTAAAAGTATCGAAATCCGACCATTAGGTAAATTGTTGTTTTTTTTTTCTAAAAATTTGAACTTTAAATCACTCTCCTGTAAAGTTTTCTCAATGTCGCTTGGATATGTTTGCCTTTCAAGCGTCGATATCTTCTATTTGTTACATGCTTATTCGCAAAATTGGAGCTACAATACAACCGTTAATTAAGACCAACACAAAGAAAATAGACTACAATGCATATAAGCCGAGCCACTATAAATGTTTGGTATAATGATTGCAGGGAAAAACTATTGTTTTTGAGTAGCTTTAACTAATTTTAGGAAGCTGAGATATATTTTTTTATTTGAACAACATTTAAGACAATCATTTCACTGAAAAAAAAACTGCAAAATACCTACAACAAAAAAAAGATATGAATTTTTGAAACCTCGCTGGCAGAAAACATTCAAAAACACAAAAAAAAAATTGTAACTGGAAAACTACAAAAAATCGCGAAGTCCATCCATGTTGAAATATCTGTGAACTTAACAATTGTAAGTATTTTTATTTTATTTGGCTGTGTTTTGGTACTAAATCTTCACAATTACTGTATGTACCCGATGTGTCACTTCATGCAGTGCTGGTCCAATTTTAGGTATGTTTACTAATGGTGTGATTTTATTTTTTTTAGATAATGGCGAAGAAAACCTTATCCAACGATCAAATCGAATATCATTTGACAATACCATTAGGCACTGAAGATGAACAAGACTCCTCAGGCGCTAAAAGTGACGGTGACATTGCCATAATTCGATCTATCGTCAACAAACTTTATAAAACGTTTAGCGATACGGATGACGAAGAGCAATTTGTTTCACCGAACAGGTATGGATCCGCTGCACCATTATCAGGGTCCTATGGTGGTGAAATGCAGCAGCATATATCAAATCCTAGTGGTTCCATTCCTGCTGTTCATCTAGATCAACTGCTTCACGAACACGTCAATCAACAGTTGTATCTTCCGCGTCTACTGCACCAAAAGACGCTGCTCCTTCACCTGCTGCATCCGTCGCCAGTAAAAAGCGAAATATCATCTGAAAAAAAAAAGCTTTCCATCCAACAAACCGTGGGTTTTGTGGGCAAACCGATCTAGAGCCACCGATTAGTGAATTTGAAACTCCATTGCAATATTTCTTGTACTTATTTGATGATTATATTCTAAGCCATATTTATCGTAGAAGAAATGCATAAGTTTAGTGTAAAAAAAACCCATCAAAGCCTTTTTTTACAAGCGTTACAGAGCTGAAAAAGTACATAGGTATCTGTCTGCTAATGGGCATTGCCCCACTGCCACATACTCGAATGTCCCGGGAATCTGAATTAGATTTGTCATTGATAGGAAAAAAAATCGGCAATATCTACACTTCAATGATAATACCACTCAGCCACCAGCAGGTACTGCCGGACACGATCGTCTCCATAAAATCAGACCTCTATTAGAAACCCAAAAACAAAATGTCAAGCTATACCCAAACGAGAAGCACTGTGAGTGGATGAGCAGATGAGCGCTACTAAGGCCTCTAACATGCTGCGCCAATATCTACCTAATAAGCCTCATAAATGGGAGTATAAACTGTTGGTTTGTAAAGACAAAAAGAATGAGAGCCAATGTAGCGATTCTTCCTACTCGTGACGTCAGGTGTGATGGAGTCGAGCACTTTCCTATGTGGGGACAGAAGCGCCAGCGATGCAAGAATCCAGGCTGCAAAGGAAAGTCCTTTGTTGTGTGCGAAAAATGCAGTCGAACTTTGTTTAAACAAGGACAAAAACTGCTTCCGTCTGTTTCACCTTTAGTTAGATTAGCAAATTTAGATTGGTAATTGCATATAGTGCCACATATGGAACTAAATAAATAAAAACAATTATCTGTTACTATTAGTTTTTTTTTTTCATTTTACCTGTAGTTCCCGTGTTCTAGACCACAAATATGATCTGGTAAGATTTAAAAAAAAATCATGCCGTGTAGGGTTAATTACTGTGCATCTTCTAATATTCTAATTGTAAGTCTGAGTTCAATACATAATTGTGACCGTAACATGGTGCTTCTAAATCAAAGAACAAGAGCAGAAATTCCCTCTGACTGGGCTGACCATATAGCGCAGGCAAGACGTGTCCCGTCTCCATTCATAGTCGAGGAGTGTGAACAAAACCTCTTCAGAAATTGGACGCTCCACTTTAAGCCTAAACCAAAATGCCCATTTGCCAGTAGACCAATACGAGAGCTGAGAGTCCACGATAGTTATCCACATTTGATTTATCACAGAGACAGCTATAATGGACCATGGCTTTCCTCAGTTGTGGCCAACAAAAAATACAAGGCCCCGAAATGCACCGAAACTGAATTTATTCATCCAACTAGCTTGTATGAAAAATTAATTCCAATATCAGAAGCTAAATATAAAGACTTACAAGATCTTAGCAAATTTTGCTCAGAGACAGCAGGGGTTTTTTACTCAGGCCTATCAAAAGGACTTCTAGTAGATGATGATGAAGACTTATAGTATATTCTGACATTCATCCTTGTCATTGTGACCCTCATCTTTGTTTACTTTAAAACAATCCTGATTTACGAAAATACATTATTTTAAAATAAATATGATATATCATTATTTTGTGTTTTATTAATTAGTATTCTTTATATTTTGATGCATATTTCTGTGTTTAAATCATAACAATTGACCCATGGACCCATGGATTTTGTTAAAAGAATCTTTTGGTGACCTTCATCTTTTTTTGCATGGACTCTTCATATAAAGGGTGTCCAGCAGGAATTTTTCAACTTTAAATTGCGATTATCGAAATAATAGCGGGGTGACGTAAGCAGGAGGGATATCATTCAAAGTGTACGATTTGCGGATTTGTTAGTCGCTATGAGTCACTGGTCGGGAGCGCACCGCGCGTTTGCGGTGGAGCAATATTTGAAGTGCAGTGAATCATTGGTACGTGCACGTCGCGCTTTTTGTACTCATTTTAATATTCGACGAGTAAGTGATGGGCCGAGCACGCAACTTATCTGGTCGTGGGTACAAAGATTCAGGCAAGAAGGCACAATGGTAAACAGACCTATTCCTGGACCATCAACGTCAGAACATGTCTCAAGTTCGAAATGAAATTATTCGAAATCCACGAAAATTAATAAGGAAGATTGCGGCCTCCACAGGAATAAAAAAATCAACAGTGTATGTTATTTTGAAAAAGAAATTAAAGCTGCACCCGTACAAAATGCAAATTGTTCAGTATCTCAACGAAAATGACTATCCTTTGCGAGATTCCTTCGCAAGAACAATGCTGGGACGTTTTCGGACAGCACTTACGCTTAGAAACATTTTATTCAGTGACGAAGCACATTTTCATATTGATGGCTATGTTAACAAACAAAATATGCGATACTGGTGCCCTAACAACCCTAGAGAGCGCCATCAAAAACGTTTACATTGTTTAAAAACGACAGTTTGGTGTGCCATTTCAGCGAGCGGGGTAATTGGCCCTTATTTTTTTAACCAAGGTGAGACAGTCACTGCTCCGGTGTATTGCCGTATGAACGACGAGTTTCTGTTACCGCAATTGCAGCAGTATTCAGGGTACAACAACCGAACACAATTTCAACAGGACGGTGCCACTCCGCACACAGCTAGGGTGTCGATGGAAAGGTTAAGGACAGTTTTTCCGAATAAACTGATCAGCAAGTACGGAGACATTCCATGGCCGCCTCGGTCACCAGACCTCACACCTTGCGAGTTTTTTTTATGAGGATACCTCAAATCAAAGGTCTACAACAACAATCCCCGGACAATTCAGGCCCTACAGGAAAACATTCGCCATGAAATTCAAAGCATTACTCCAGCGCTTTGCCGTCGCGTAATCGCAAATGTAAGGGTCCGACTGCAAGAGTGCATTGAAAAAAACGGCCATCATTTGAATGATATCGTTTTTAAAAAATAAAATCCGCATTGTTATTCTGCATTTAATTGAAATAAAAATAAAAATAAATAAAAACGATGTAGTTTTTTTATATTAAATTCTTAAGTTGAAAATATTCCGCTGGACACCCTTTATATTTCCTGTAAAACATGGAAGTTTCATTATCGACTGTGTGGACTGACATATAATCTTCTGCCGGAGCATAGCCGGCAGCGGTGGGAGCAAATGACGTGTATGAAGCAGAAGAATCCTGTACATAAAGAACCGTTGATCTCCAGCTATAATCTACATCAAGAGGAAAAGATTCTTAGTAGAATAGAAAAAAAACAAGATGTAGACGAGTGGAAAAGCCTGATAGCAACAGTATTGTGGCTATATTCAATCTTAAAGCCGTATTGCCTTTTCCTATAGGTCAATCGTCGGCATTTTTTTATAAAAGTAAACTTAATTGTTATAACATCACAGTATCCGATAGTAGGGATGAGAAAACATTCTGTTTCTTTTGACATGAGGGTCTGGGTAAACGAGGAGCCAATGAAAAATTTTTTTTCGGATAACTGTTGTAGCCAACAAAAAACAAATTCATTCTTGAATGTGCGTATGTTTGTTTGTTTCTCTACTCCATTGAAACGGCTAAGCGGATTTTAATTAAATTTGGCATGTAATGGCTTTTACTCTGGATTAACACATAAGCTACTTCCCAGAAAATCCTCCAATAGGTAAAACCTAGTAATTTTATAAATTGTTTCAGGTATACCAAATATAACATGTTAATTATTTCGACTATGTGTTTGCTTTTTGTTCCCACGAGAATGTAAATGCGTGCTCCTATTTCACCATGCCTCCTGCTGATAGAGGACCAGTCTTTGTTTTTAATTTATATTATTATTATTAATTACTTAAGATATCATGTGGAACATGGTTTAATGGTTGCAGCTCCTTACAAACGTTGTGTACAAAAAAACATGGCGATTAAAAAGAGTGGCGGAGAGTTTATTGCCAGTTCTTCTCTTCCGTTCTACGCCCTTGATTTGAGAACTGGCACTAAATGTAAAATTAGAAGCATTTATATGTATTTCTTTACAGACAAGTCATAAGTGTACAAAGTGTTACCCATATGATTAAATGATTTTTGAATTTGAATTTTGAACAGATATTACAAACTGTGTCCACAAAAAATCTGAAAAACTAAAAGTGTTATGCGATTCATTGAGTCTTTTAAATGTATCGAATCACGCGATTGCAGATCAGATACTTTCGAGAGGAAATATGTATCATCTGATTTGAATATTCGTAAAATGTGGAAGATGTATCAGGCAAAACAAGAAGATGATCAACTCAAAGTGCGTCATTGTTTCTTTAGAAACATATTCAATAAATACTATAACATTGGATTCAAAACTCCAATAGTAGACGTTTGTTCTAAATCCCTGGAGCTAACAGGTAAAATTAAAATCGCTCAGAACGAAGAAAAAGTCAAATTGATGGCTTTATTGTGAATTCATAAATTGAAAGCCAATTGTTTTTATGAGTTTTTGCGCGAACATGATGAAAAAGCGGTTTCGATATCATTCGATTGCCAAAAAAATCAGGTGCTGCCTAAAGTTCCTGGTCAGATGGCTTATTATTGAAGGCAGTTTTATATATACAATTTCTCAGCAGTACTCACAATATGTGTACGAAAATATAATATACATTTATAAAAACATTAATAAATTTATAAAGCGCAGTGACTGTCACAATTTAAACACAAGAAGTAGGAATAGACTTGATTTTCGAGCTTTCAGACTTCATAAAACTGCTCACTCATTTATGGGAAAATGTATACAGATATTTAACAAGATTCCGGACCGTGTAACCAAACTTCCGTTTATGAGTTAAAGCTTTGCATCAAGAAAACCCTAACAAAGGGAGGATATTACACTGTTCGGGAATACATAGACGATGACAATGTGTGGGCACTAGTGCCGCTGTAAGATGGGGAGTTGACATGCATAAGTGTACAAATTGTACCTAAATGATCAAATGACCTTTTGTTTCTTTGTTTGTTTGTATGCTACAATCAACCGCCCATCTGATGCAAAGACTGTAAAGGCAGAAGTGACATACAAGTATTACTTGAATTATTATCAAGAACACTACATCTATCCCAAAAATAATTACAAAGAGATAAGCAATACAGTACAGAAGCAGTATGAGACACAACTTAACACGACCAGGGACAGTACTTCTATAGGCGTATGAGTAAATAAAATTTATGTGACAGAACGCCTCTGGCCGTCAGAGTTTATGTTCACATCCCGTCAGTACGCCATGCGACGTGGTATTTTCCATACAAATTCATAGGACAGCAGTTTGTAATGTCACCGCAAGTATAATTCACACCTCGATACTGTCACTACTTCATGTTCTAATTGTTAGACAAAGACAAGGCGTTCACGCACACATCTGAAATTTTGAGATCTTTCCGTCACACACACTACGCCAATAGGCGTCGTTTTTACATACAGCCAGTCGAGTAGTGTGCGACTGTGCGTCGGCGGCGGAGCGCTTGCTTGTCACAACATGTTTTAGTGCAAAGTGTTTTCTAAAATGTAAGTATTGTTCAATTTTTATTTGATTAGATGGTATAAAATACATTAGCGTGGCAAGTAGCACATGCCAGTATTTCTTCTTAGTACCAGTGTATCTTATAAACTGGATTTTAGAATATGAAATTCAACGCTATAGTTTTTGCAGATGGCGTCTGGGAGTTCATATGAAGAACAGCAAAAACGTCTGCAGACTTTGTTTGATGCGGCTTCTACGCCTGAATCGACTCAAGACCCGTTTGAAGATGATGGGGAGTATGGATCGGACCAAGAATATCAACCGTCTGGCGATGAGTCTACGAGTTCGGAGGATGCAACAAAAGTTTCGCAAACAAGAGGCGTACGCCGGAATACAACTATCTTATCGTCCGGTGAGTCCTTATCAACTTCATCTAGTGACACTGACGATGATCACGACAGAACTTTGTGTTCTGGCTCCGAGGAACTTCGACCAATTCATGAACGTGAACAATTGAGTTAGACTCAAAAGTCTGAGTCTGACCTAGATATAGAGAGAGTCATTGATGAATCACAAGAAGCAGGTCAGCAGGTACAAAACTAAACAAAACTGTACTTGAAACGTTATAATGCGAAGTAAAATTACTTTCCCGGGTCAGCTTTTAATGAAATATATGTCTATAAAAAGCTAAAAGAATGCACTATAATTATACATAAAATATTAACAGGTTTGTAAGTAGCTTTTGAGCTACAGGCGACCAACTTAAGGGAAAGTTACCAACTTATTGTGTTTTTAGAAAAAATTATTACTTCAAAGCAAAGGAATGTTTTTAAATTCTAAGACTGTCTTTATATTAAGTAAAATGACTTTCCGAATATGTATATACAAAAGGGGTCTGACTTATATTTAAATAGAAAAGTTGTTGGAGAGAAAACCACGTTAAATAAAGTGCGTGTCACCCCCTCTATACCCAAGACCACCACCTCCTGTGTCATAGACCCCTCGAGTTTGGGCTCAAACTGTACGAATTGAGGAGAAGAATAATCTGGCCCCAACAGAAACGCCCCCGTTCCCCCTATTTCAATTTACATTTTATTTTATTTTTTATAAAACAGTAACACCCCGTTGTTGGGCTCAAACAATCCGCCTTGTTGAGAGGTATAATTTGGCTCCAATATAAACCCCCCCTATTTTCTATTTCTATAGCAACCCCCCCACCACCAACCCCTCGAGTTGGGTATCAAACGACTCAGCTCGAAGAGGTGAATACACCTGACCCCTCCAGCCCCCCTCACCCCCACCAGCAAAATATTACCCCGAACCCCACCCAAACCAACTAGCACAGCCTCTACAGGGAGTAGAGGGGGAGGAGAGGCTCTACGTCCTCAACAACAGCTAGACGGACCTTAGCAGATGTGCCCGGCCTTCACCCGTGTAAAACGCCCAGCAGTGTCGTCTCACATGGAGATGGCTAAAGAATATAGGCAATCGAAGGTCTCTTCGGAGTCGTCGGCCTAATCGACCCTCCATCCTCCATCTGCACCACCCCTCCCGCTCCCTCTCCCCAGCCCATACCCGACATAACGGCATTTACAGCAGCAGCCAATGATCTCACGGCAAAAATTTAAGTACACCCTAAACTACTACAAGAAAACAAAAACAACATCGCTCAGATCTCCAATAAAATTATATCAATAAAAAAACCACTCACCGACACACCCACCAACCCCCGCACTACCGTTCCTTCCTACGCAACAATTGCAGCAACCACCTCCCCCTCTCCCAAATTTACACCTGGCCCCTCAATTATAGTTAGTGGCGGTCCTGACACCACACCTCAAACTATGCTGGAACAAGTCAGGACCGGCATCAATTATCGTCAAGGAGGGTATGACCCCCTCAAAATCGCCCCCCTTTCTAAAGGGAAGTTAAAAATTACATTTCGCTCTGAAGAGCACAAAGATGATGCTCTTCGGCAACTAACCAAATCCTCCCCGCTCAAAGCGGAAAATGAAAAACGACTCGACCCAATGATTATTATAAAGGGAATTAATAAATCAACACCAGAAGAAGAAGTAGTCGACACAATTCGGGATCAAAATCCCGAACTGACCAACGAAAAATTATTCATTAAATTCCGCCGTAATAATCGCAACGACAACCTTTTCAACCTTGTTCTCTCAACCTCCCCCTCCGCTTGGCGCAAGTTTGTCGAAATGGGCCACGTCGCTATTTCTTATCAATACGTACACTGCTCTAATTTTTCACCTTTTCTCCAGTGTAGACATTGTCTTAACTTTGGGCACACCAGAGGCAGATGCCCTGCGTCCTCCCCCACCTGCGCTAAATGTGCCGGTCAACATGACACCATTGAATGTAAATCTACTGAAACCAGCTCACACATGTGCTCATGTGACACATGTCACCTGTGCTAACTGCAATGAGCATAATGCTCAGTTCAAAACTAACACTAACGTCACCCACCGCGCCGACAGCGAGAACTGCCCCAAGGTGAAAGCAATGAGGGCCCGCATTGAAGCCAAGATTAATTGCCATTAAAACTTATTCATGCATACACTTAAAATCACACAAGCTAATCTAGACAGATCTCGCCTTGCGCTCCAAGAATTTAAATTACATTTTGTTAACACTGACATTGCTTTTATCTCCGAACCTTACTATAACACCAACAACACAGTCTCACACATTCCAGGCTTTCGGATATTCCAATCCTCTAACGATGGACCTACGAAAGCCTGCATAATCACCACACAACACATAAACGCACACATCCTCACCTCACTATTTCTCATTTCCATATACATAGAACCAAACACTGACAACGCCCAAACACTTCAAATTTTAGATAATTTTCTCATACACAATCCAAACGCACACATCCTCATTTACACCACAATCTGAACACGCCCAACATTTTATTTGATAACACCCCACTCACCTTCAACAAAAACATTACTTATCTCGGAGTCGTCATCGACAATAAACTACTATTCAATGATCATTTAAAGCACACCATTCAGAAAACACTCAATATCTTCAAAAAACTACAGATCTACGTACGCAACACATGGGGCCCACACCCCGAAAACGTTCGCACCATCTTCTCAATGGTCATTGAACCAATCATTACATATACCTCCAGTGTTTGGGGACATATTGCCGTCAAGAAAACGGTCCGAACAAAACTTATAAGTCTACAGCGCGGCTTCGCTCTCAGAGCCATCAGAGCCTTCAGGACGGTTTCCGCCAACGCAGCGATCGCCCTGGCCCGTTTCACCCCCCTCGACCTCAAACTTCTACAGGCGGCAGAGACTGAGACCACCCGCATTAACAGACATACCAACAGATTACCCAATGATATCCCTATTGAAACCCCTGTCCGTTTCTCGGACCTCCTTCACCCTGCAGAACGAGTCCCCATCAATACTTTAACCAAAGATGCATTCGCAGAATTAAAACATTCACTCTTCCACCACATTTACACCGACGGCAGTAAGCACGAAGAAGGCTCAACCGGCGCCGCGCTTGTCGTATACTCACCAACCTCCCTCTCACCACTTCACAACGACGAACAGACACATAAACACACATACACCAAACACATCAAATTACACAGCACCAGTTCTGTCTTCCAAGCAGAACTGATTGCCATTAAATACGCCACAATGTACCTATATACCAAAAACATCACACATGCCATCATTCTCACTGATTCACAATCAGCCATAGCTGCATTGAAACAATACACCAATACCCATCCCATCGTCACTGACATACACAACACGCTCCATTCCATCAACCCAAACTCCACCCCTAACATACATTTTCACTGGGTCAAAGGCCATTCAGGCATACCCGGTAACGAACTAGCGGACGCCGCGGCTAACAAGGCAGCATCCCTCCACAAATCCCCCGACCTTATTTCCTGTCCCATTTCCCACATTAAGAACATTATTAAACAAGACACCAAACTAAAATCACAATCCAGATACATATACGAAACAGCCGGCAAATTTACCAAAAAACTGTTTCCTCAACTCTCCAATATCCACGCATTTTTCCAAACCATCCCCGTATCCTTTCTAAGGACCCAATTCCTAACCGCCCATTCATTTGCAAAAGACTATTTACACAGATTCCACATCACTGACGATCCTTATTGCCCCTGCAATAACTCCACCACTCAAGACCTCATCCACCTAATCTGCGAATGTCCCAGATTCTCCTATCAAAGGAGAACATACGAAGAGACCTGCAACTTTATGAATATAAACCCATATAATATATCTAAGAACATATCGTAGCGCATCTGGTGCTATACCTCCTCCAACAATTTAAATATAAAAGAATCCCACAAGAAATTGCGCAGAATTTCCCTCCAGAATGGGGTCTGGGAAAAACAGATTCTGGTTGGATGACTTGCGAGGCGTTCTTCGAATTTATTGCCGACATTTTTCATCCTTGGCTGAAGAAAGAAAGTATTCCTTTGCCGGTCATTCTTTTCGTGGACGGACATGCGTCTCATGTAAGTCTACAAGTGAGTCAGTTTTGCGAAAAAAATGGCATCATCCTCTAGCAACACACCTATTACAGCCAATGGATGTTTGCTGTATTCAGAACTCTGAAAGAGCATTGGAAAAAGAAGGTACACGAATGGAGAATATCTAATTTGGAAGCTCCAATCTTAAAGAAAAAAGATTTTCCAGAACTTCTGAAAGAAGTTATCGACACAACACTGAACGCGACAATCTTCGAAAATGGTTTTAGAAAATGTGGGCTATTTCCGTGGCACCCGGAAATAGTCACTGTTCCATTAAACAATGAAGACCTTCATAATCAAGTCACAAATGTTGAGGGACGTAGAAGATTTTTAGAAGAAGGGCTTCGGTTTCTCAATCAAAGTATTCCCCAAAGCAAGCTCATTATATTTTGCAACGGAGATAAAAATGAGTTAGACGAAAAAGATATCTCACTGTTTGAACTGTGGCAAAGTACAAAATCAGAAATAGAAAACGGTTTGCCAAATTCCTCTGTTGTTATCCCTGAGCCTACCGCAGAAAACAGTGAAGATACAAATCTTTTATTTAACATTATACCGCTCGCTTCTGGTGGCAATAACGAGTGGCAAAACCAAAGCACAGCACATAACAACCGGCCATCTAAAAACAACTCTCCTACGATTTTTGAACCATATTTTGAAAATAATATGAACCTTTGCCAAGCTGGACCTTCTTCAGCGCCCGCGGATTTCCCTAGCCCCTTTGCCCCTGATGCTCTAACGCTCGCTTCTGGTGCCATTTGCCAAGCTGGACCTTCTTCAGCGCCCGCGGTTTTCCCTAGCCCCTTTGCCCCTGATGCTCTACCGCTCGCTTCTGGTGTCATTAGCGAGTGCAATAACGAAACCATAGAAACTTCAGTGTCTGCGGAAATCCCCAGCCCCTTTAAAAGACATTTTTATTATAAGAAAAATAAAGAGGAACCAGACAGAAAACGATGCACAAAAGAAAGAATGCCTTCTATAGTTTCGGGACACTTGTGTCAAGAATATTTTAAAAAGAAGTTAGCAAAAAAGGAAGAATTAGAAAAATTAAAAATGGAACGTGCTGCCAAAAGACAAAAGAAAAGAGAAGAAAATGAGAAAACAAAAAAAGGGAACATTCAGAAGCGTAAGAAAACACTGAAAAGAGGATGCTTAATTTTGACGATAGTTCTGATTCAAACGTGGATGGTGTTTTTGCTGACAGTGAAAGTGAGTCTGAAAATGAAAGTGATAGAGAAAACATTATTAAAAAAAAACTTAAAAAACCAGTACAGAGAAAATTAGGAGAGTATGTAGTATTTTCTTATGAAGAAGAGTTGTTTCCGGGGGTAATTACTCATGTTACTAAAACAGCTGCTACTGTTTCGTCAATGCAGAAATGTGGGAGACATGTGGCCTGAAAAAGTGGATCAATTGGACTATGAATGGGAATATGTGTTGTTCCATATTGACGAGCCATTAAAAATGAGTCAAACAAGAAATGTATACTCGGTTCCCGAACTAGAATATTTATGGAACTAAGTGAGTGATATAAAATTACTGAATATTGATACTAAACAGGATAGCTCATTTCCAGCTGTCAGTATGTATAAATGTAGGTATATATTTTTAAGTTTACAAATACATATATAGGTTCATATATAGGTAGGGTATCTAATAACATTTCATTTTTGTGTACATCTTAATTTAAACATACTATGTGAACTACTAAGTTACTACCTTCATTTTATTAAAAAATACGCATCAGTTTTATTTTTACAATTCAGAAAGTGTAATAATTTGCGCAACTATTACCAAGTAGAAAGTCCCTGTAAGATGATTTCATACCAAACTATGTCTATAGACATACTAATAAACCCTTAAGGTGTCATCTACTGGATAGTTTACCTTACATCAACTAAAAGAAAAAATTTGCGAAGAAATGTCGGCAATCTCGCAGTCTCTTTGCCGTCGGGGTATTCGAAAACTTAGGTACTCGCTTAGTGCAAAAGTCGAAACGGTGGCCATTTAGATGATATTATTTTTTTAAAATAAATTCCAATTAACAAGCTTTCTTGTAGGTAAATAAACAATTTTTTATATATGTCAAATGGTTTTTTTAAATGTTAACTAATTCTTGGCCCACCTTGTATAACGCTCTGGTCATGTTGAATATGGCATTATTATATGGAGTCAACTATATGCGATCAATTCGCAAAGTCTTTTACGCGACACTTAGCTTTCATTAGCAGAGGATTCTAACACAGACATCCGTATCATCAGGGACTTAGAAATTTAATATGATATCGCTATACGGTCGGAGAACTTTAGCCCGTGTTACCTTCTTACATAAATTGCTAAATAATCGTATACAGAGCAGTGACCTCTTACAGGATATTAAAATTGTCGTCCCTTATTCATTTCCTAGGTCTAAAATCAGCAATATTTTTCAAATTCCTTCTGCAAAAACCAACCTTGGAGTTCAGGCACCTCTCGGTCGAATTCTTCGCGATTTCAACGAATTGAACGTTGCTGGATATATTCGGTAGTGGGCTGATCGGTTTTAGAGAAAGCATTGTTGGGTGCCTTTCTCGAACCTAATTCGCTGTTTTGCTGATGATTTTTTTTCTGCTTTACCAAAAATTCCTGGTAACTTTTTGTATGCTTATTTTATCTTATAGCGGGCCATAGACGGACCGCATGTTGCAACCGATACCGACTGCTCTAAGCGGTCGCCGCACGGCGATCTGCAGTTTCCATACTAAATTCATATTCGCAATACACGGACCGCTCGAGCAGTTCCTGAGCAAACCGCATGGTGCAGTCGGTCTTGACTGCAACATGCAGTCCGTCTATGGCCTGCTTTATGTTTACTTCAACTGTCATACATTTAGATGAAAGATTTTGTAACATATGCCGTAGATTTAATACTATGTATGATGTGGTAAACTTTAATAAATAAATAAACTAAGGCGTTTATCGAAAACCATAAACAATAGCGAACGCCTTTTAAATAAAGCAGTGTTAGAAATTCGTTTATAAATTTCACGGACCCTTTTAAGGCACTCAATTTAACTCAATTAAAAAAAGGTTTCATTCAAAACATTTAATCATAAAACTTAACTTTAGTTTTTGGGAACTCGACTCTATTAATAATTAATTTTATTATCAAAAATCTCAAAATTGTGGCAACATTTACTCGTATGTACGACGAATCTACTCCGCGGCTCAAACATACCAATAGGCTTTAATCAGGCTTTCATGGGCCAATATATTGGTGAAACCCGTGTAAGAGTATAAATTACAGAGGCGAGTATCTCTAGCGGGTGGGCTGGTGGAAACAACTCCACGTAGGAAGTACCGAGAGGTGGACTGTACCAAAGCTGGGAACGCTAGACCCCCACCACTATCCCCTTTACAAAGGGTTGTACCTGAAAAAAACATAGTCTAAGATGTGTATAGCCAGGTTTATGTAAGGCTGATCAGGGAGCGTTCAAATATTACGTACCGAATTTTGGGGGGGGTGCCCTTTTGTAAAACGTTACGATGCGGGGCGGGGATAGAATTACGAGTTATTGTTAATATTATTTTCGACTTTCCAGTACTTTACACTACATAATGGTAACTTTTAGGTATAAAGAGTCACTGGGTGGTCACGAAACGTTTTATTATTGGCTACAGAAAAACGTTACGGCGCGTTACATGGGGGGGCGGCAATCAGTAATCTCCAAAAATTGCGTGACGTAATACTTGAATACTCCCTCACCTACTTGCCTGAAAGATGTACAAAAACTTGAAACCAACACACATATTATGGATCCTGGCTCGGCCATTCTTGAAATGTTAGATTCTTATTTATTATTTGGTAGTACCAATAGTAGTAAGTTAATTATTCTTCGTATATGTTCGTTTTTTTTGCATTCTTTTAAATTTTATTAATATTATTATTTTAAGATTTAAGTCTAGTTTAGTGTAGTTGGTATATTACTAGTGTAACGTAATATTATAGTTTATGTTGTAAATTATTTATGCACTTTTGGTGTTTTTTTTTCCATAAGGTTTGCCTGGTAGAAATCGCTTGTTAGCGATAAGGCCGCCCGTTGAGAAGGCAACGAAGTGTAAATAAATAAAGGATTCTGAATATAACTTTAAAAACAAAGGATTTTAAACATTTCCTACCATTAGCATGTCCAGCGCAAATTTTGTCCGCAGCCAAGAACTCCTTATAATCCCTCGAAGTGTTGTTGACACAATCGTCAAATGGTACGAATGGGACGTCCAGTACTTTCAAAACGGGAGATTCTGACCCCGCATAGCCCGTTGTCAGGCCCCAGCCTGCTACCTGGATTTTAATTCAAAATATTGGCTAATATTACAATATGTACGTAAAACATAAAAAAATACGTGGCATTTCTTTATTGCCCTCAAATGGGTTAAATATGTCTTTTTTTCGGTGGAGAACTTTTTTAGTAGCAACACGACCCGTTACACTGTTGGTACACCTCCACTGCGAGTTTCGCACATCACTTACGCGAAACTATTAGCGAACCCTCCAGCACGGACCAGTTGAAAAATAATGTCATTTGACCCCCCCTCCTCCTTGTGTAACGCGCCGTAACGTTTTTCGTGACCACAAAAGACTCTTTATACCTAAAAGTTACCATTATGTGGTGTAAAGTACTGGAAAGTCGAAAATAATATTAACAATAACGCGTAATCAATCCCCGCCCCGCATCGTAGCGTTTTACAAAAGGACCCCCCCAAAATTCGTTACGTAATACTTGAACGCTCACATAACATGCACGCACGCGCCAACGGCAACGGGCAGAGATGTAGACGGATTACGCCAGAAAAGACAACATCATAGTCAATTTTGTACGTCAAAGCAAGAAAAGAACAGAACAGACCTTGCCCATATTCCCCTTTCTCAGTTGTTCCTCATTCAGTTTCGGATCGAAGTCCAAGCAGAGCGGACGTATATAGGGGCGATAGTAAAACGGCTCGTTGACAACCACCACGGCGAGATCGTATTGATAATTCAAATCAGCGCCGTAGAACCGCGAGGCTAACTCTATTTTTGATACCTGAAATATAGAAGATTTTTTCAATGAGAAGCTCGAAATCACTGTATAATCTAAAACAAAGTGCGTGCGTACAAGGTACACATGTCAGAAGTGAAACTTTTTTGTAAATTAATTATTACTAAGCTATTGCATAGAATTTTTTATCAACTTATGCAGTTATAATTATTTATTTATTTTTTATTTATGCAGTATTTGTTTTTCTTTGATATTATTTAAATCTACCACTCTATCTGACTCTATCAAAGAGATGGGAATGCGCAGTATTCTGTCCCACTCTAACGCGTATTTGCCGCACCTATATTACGTCATCGTGTATAAGGTTTTTTTTCGTTACGGAATTTCTTGATTCGGTCGCCGCGCTCAAAGCCCGCGATAAAATCTATGCAATAGCTTAAAAATTTTAAAACGTTATATTTAAATAACAAGTTTAATTTTACAATCATCAAAATGATTATCTGTTTCCAGTTAAATATAAGTATTGATCTCAGATTTTTTTATAGTTTAATAACCCGAACCCGAAGTTGCTTAATACTGCGTATATTGTCTTCCAATTTTATTTCTCCATCACTTGGAAGAGATTGCCCAAAATCGATAAGGCCACTCGTTTTCATCAAGTGTTTTCACTGTACTGGTTTTGTAATGAATTGAATTATCCTGTTATCTAGCCTATTTAAGCTAATAATAAGTCTTAACTTACGTCCCGTCGCTGGGCGTATAACGAGTCGTAGGGATGGTCCCAATCCCGGTACAGTTTGCCAACAGCCACCGAGTACAAATAACTCGGCAGTTGCTGTATCTTCTCGTGCCAGAAGCAGTGAGCGGCTGAAATTAGAACAGGCCTATTGGACCATCTGTCTCTTTCCAACACAGCGTAAACACAATTTGACAGATAAAGACGAAATATATGAAGATGGCGTTTAGCTTAAAATGTCTATTTGAAAATCTATTTCAGATTATATATTAGTGAGCCTATACAAATGTTTACTATTAATTATGTTATGTATTGCGTTTAGAAATTCAAATTAAAACACTTTTCTATGCAAGATGGCGTGGCACAAGTCCCTGTGACGTACTATGCCTGTAATTCATTTACAAGCATGCTACGTCATGGTCAATTCGACTAATTCTGACCGTTTCGCATATAAAATTTAATATTATAAGATTTTTTTTAAATAAAATGATATTTTTTTGCATGGTGGGCCGAGGACTAAGATGTTTGTGGAGAAGATTAGGAAAAGATGCTCAAGACAGAGAGAGATGGAGCCACTTGGAGGAAGGCCTCCTCCATACTCTATGAGGGCCTTAAAGTTCTACACAGATTATTCACAAAGAAATTATATTTTTGGGAATAAATACATTTTTCTGTTTCTTTCTATCGTTTTTCTGAGTATTATTATAATCTAATAAAACATAAAATCAAATAACTTTCTCTAGAAACTACATACCGGATATAACAATTGAAGTACTAATAAGCGAACCCCCACAGATCTGGTTATGCGTTTCTGCAGTCATATTCTTTAAGTAAATGCCCACATGCCACGGCACCGCACCCCTTTCCGCCATCCCGCCCCCTATCACCAGGATCTCTCCTTTGGGGGTTACAGTCCCGCATTCTGAAATATATTACACGAATACTAGAATATGTTTGATATGTTACTTATTGTTTTTGCTTCGACATTTTCCCAAGGTAATAGACATTTGGTTCGACATTTTCCCAAGGTAATAGACATTTGGTTCGACATTTTCCCAAGGTAATAGACATTTGGTTCGACATTTTCCCAAGGTAATAGACATTTGGTTCGACATTTTCACAAGGTAATAGACATTTGGTTCGACATTTTCCCAAGGTAATAGACATTTGGTTCGACATTTTCACAAGGTAATAGACATTTGGTTCGACATTTTCCCAAGGTAATAGACATTTGGTTCGACATTTTCACAAGGTAATAGACATTTGGTTCGACATTTTCCCAAGGTAATAGACATTTGGTTCGACATTTTCCCAAGGTAATAGACATTTGGTTCGACATTTTCCCAAGGTAATAGACATTTGGTTCGACATTTTCACAAGGTAATAGACATTTGGTTCGACATTTTCCCAAGGTAATAGACATTTGGTTCGACATTTTCCCAAGGTAATAGACATTTGGTTCGACATTTTCCCAAGGTAATAGACATTTGGTTCGACATTTTCCCACGGTAATAGACATTTGGTTCAACATTTTCCCAAGATAATAGACATTTGGTTCGACATCTTTCCAAGGTAAGACATTTGCTTCGACATTTTCCCAAGGTCATAGACAAGAATAACTTTACTTCATAGACATTTTTTTGAGTTAAAAAGATATTAAACTGGCCAATGATTAATAAAGAAATCTCACCCGGATAGCATTTAGGCTTATAATTCCAATGTCCATCCGTACAGAACATATATGGCAAGTCCTGGGGGCTGTAATAATTCGGGCGCCGGCATTCGGGCTGCACCGTCGTACCGTCCAGCTCCTCCTTCCCACAATCCCTGGTGCTGTCAATCCCGCCATACTCCGTCACCAGGCAACGGTACACCACACTGTCTGATGGTTGCAGCTTGCAGGACCCTGAAGTTTCATAGCAATTAGATGGTGAATTCAGCAAATATCTAATGGAATATTGGAATAAGAATTAAGTTGGCGCCTGGTAGATTGTACCGGTAAATCCCAGAGCTGGTGCTTTCCTCAATGAATAAGGTACACTGCCACAGTGACATAACTTTTATATTTTAAAACTTCGTGACGCTAATATTATTATTATTTCGTAAAGAACCTCGTGCACCTAAAGTTTCACTTCAAAAATCGTAAATAATGGTTCCAAGATCAAAGTACACTCACGTACACAAGTGGGCAAAGTCTCCACGGACCAGACTCCGCTGTAACAATGTATGGTTTCGTCTCCGACCAATTTGTATCCAGGCTTGCAGGACACGTTCAAAGTTAAGTAGCGATTGGAAGTCGCGGGTGAAGCCAGCCGATACAGTCCGTTTCTGGGATGGTCTGGTACCGAACAGGTTTTTGGACTGAACAAAAATATATCTCTAAATTAATAAATAAATTAACTTAATATATTACACTATTAATACTTAAGTATGGAATGGGATAGTCAAAAGTACAGAAAAACGTTACGGCGCGTTACACGGTGGGAGGGGATGTCAATTATCTACAAAAATTGCGTGACGTAATACTTGAATGCTCCCAGTCAGCCCCATGTATATGGGCCTCTTCAAGTATATTTCGCCATCACAATCTATATCGTTCCACAAGTTTGTGAGTTCAGTAAGGACCTTGGGGTTAAATTAAATCGTCCGCCATTGTGCACATGTTCCATCTACGTCGTCAAGGACGTTATAAAGTGAGAATACTCACGCGACAATAATCTGCGCCTCCGTAGTAGTGGTTGTAGTTGTAATGGTCCGGTTACACAATAAGTCAGACTCGTCGGAGCCGTCTGCGCATTCTTGGATCTGGAATAGAAATGTTTATTTCCAGTCATTTGTTCATACTGCACCACCACTATGTGGAACCAGCTGCCCACTGAAGTATTTCCGAACCAATTCGACTTTCTTTATTCAAGAAAAGAGCGTACCAATTCTTGAAAGGCCGGCAACGCACTTGCGAGCCCTCTGGCATTGATAGTGTCCATGGGCGGCGGTATCACTTAACAACAGGTGAGCCTCCTGCCGTTTGCCTCCTATTACATAAAAAAAATACAAATTCAAAACCTTAAAAATAAAAATATTTCGCCAAATTCAAGTTTAAAATTCGAAAGTCAAAAATCATTTAATCATATAGGTAACACAATGTACACTTGCACAAAAAAAGAAATGTATATGAAATGCTTCTAACTTTACTTTTACTGCCAGTTCTCAAATCAAGGGCGTAGAACGGAAGAGAAGAACTGGAAATTAACTCTCCGCCACTCTTTTTAATCGCCATATTTTTTTTACACAACGTTTGTAAGGAGCTGCAACCATTACACCATGTTCCACATGACATCTTAAGTAATAAATAATAATAAAATAAATTAAAAACTAAGATTTGTCCTCTATCAGCAGGAGGCATGGTGAAATAGGAGCACGCACTTACATTCTCGTGGGAACAACACGCAAACACATAGTTTAAACTTAGAATTTAGCATTTTCTTTACTTTGAGATTTTTTTACTTTAAGATACTTAGTAGATTTAAGGTACTTTAAGAGCGTACCAATTAAGGCCGGCAACACACTTGCAAGCCTCCTGGCAATGTGAGTGTCTATGGGCGGTATCACTTAAAATCAGATGAGCCTATTACATATAAAAAAACATAGTATTATTCATAAATTAATCTATCTAGCCTCTGCAGTCTGAAATTTGAGCTCAAAACATTTTCTTTATTTTCGTGAAACATAAACTTAAGTACTCTTTTTTTTAATGCCGAGAAAAAATACATTCAAAAAATAGCTATATAATTGCGCTTTTATTTCTATATTCTATGAATGCAGAAATTAAAAAAAACACAAAAACCAAATACTAAGTTAAAATAAAACTTACATAGTTACAATCAGCTCCCTCGTCGACGCAAGCGCCGTACGCGCACTGAAAGAGATTAGTTTGGCAAACTGCGCCTGCGCATCCCCGGAGCGACTCGTCCGACCGATCAGCGCAATCCGCATTCCCATCGCACGCGAGAAATAAATCTATCAGATCACCGCTCTTACAACGAAATTTGTCGCTGGAACAAGGAATTTATTTCACCTTAAAAATAAAAATCAAAATATATTAAAAAAATCCGGTCAAAAATAGTTTTACTATCAAATATTTAAACCTTTTTAATTATTTAAACCTTTTTAAATATTTAAACCTTTTTAAATATTTAAACCTTTTTAAATATTTAAACCTTTTTAAATATTTAAACCTTTTTAAATTATTTAAACCCCAGCCAAGCATGAAAGAATTTATTTAGAATGAAATTGGCATCCTTTATACTTCATCAATCGCACTCTTCATTTCGGACGGTCGTCGGGCCACATATTACTCTACATTGCGGTTTAACGTGTAGACTACATACCAATCACCAGATCAGTGGCATAACTATACCATCTGGAGCTCGTGGCAAATTCTTTTTATTGGGGCCCTATCAGTAAAAATCGTCATATTGTACTCAGTTTAATTTTAATAAACTTCGAGATTTTCAGCGTACTCAATTATACGTTGTATATGTCCCACTAATTGCCATAGACCTTCTCTCTTAGGCAAGAGAGAATGGTATGTAGTCCTCACGCTTGCCCAATGCGTAATGGAGACTTCACATTCATCCATAGAACATAATATCTCTTGGGTCGAGGGCCCGTGGCATTTTACCAGCCCTATTGTTACGCCACTGCACCATATAGTTGGTTGAACCAAACGACAGCTACCAAGGAAACAATTTTGCTCGGTTTTGCATAATGGGGCTTTAAATTTGTGCTAATTTTAAAGTTAAAATAAATAATCAAAAATTTATTAGTGTATATTCTCATAAAAATAGAAAAACGAAAAGACCTCACCCAACAATATCGCTTTGATCACGACACCGTGGCTGCAATTCATCAGATTCGTCTGCGCATTCCGTCACTCCGTTACACGCAGCGGTGCCGTCCACGCACGCGCCGTACGTACAACGGAACAGATAGTCAGGACAACTTTAATTTGAAAAAAAAAAAAATTTAAGGGACACACACTTAATAGACATACAGAAGAACATTTCGACGTAGGAAAGCACATTTGCTGTAAGTAGACATATTGCAATTGTTCACCAGAGCCAAAAAACTTATTTAATTTCGGAAAAAAATTAATAGTGTCGAACCTATCCATGATATTGCTACCATTTTTGGAACATATATTTATTTAACTGCCAGTCACCATTTGCAATGTAAACTTTTTATCCAAAGTTACTATAAGTACGTGTTTGGCTAGTTACAGCATACAGTTTTTTAAATCACAAACCTTTAAAACACTGTAACTAAGGAAGAAAAATGTACGCGCGGAAATATTATCAATTTACAGGCGGTAAATATGCTGTATGCAGTAAATTTATGTATTTGGGTACTTTCAATTGCAATTCAAGATGTAAGATTAGTTTATAATTATGATTAGATCTAGAAATGCAGTGGGTCATTTGGTACTGTAATGTTTGGTTGAAATAAAATGTCGTAAATGGTAAAAAAAAATAAAACTGTAGGTTCCCTAAACTTGCTGTAAGTAAACGAATGTAAAAATCACACGTCGCAGAAATGCTGTAAGTAGCGTTAAGTTTTTAAATGGGAAGAAGTAAGTATTTGTAAAGAAAAAAATGCAGATTTTCTTTTCTGATTCTAATGGCAGTAAAAAGTCACTTTAGGTATTTTGTCTACTTACAGAAAATATGCTTTCCTACGTCGATATGCACGACATAAGTATCAAAGTAAAAAGGATGAAAAAAATTATTATAGATATATATATAACATCATAAGAATTACTGATCCTAATCCTTGCTAATGCAAATTGCCAATGCGATTACTAGCTATTTAATGTGCATTCTAGAACCACAAAAAATAGAATTTCAAACTTTTAAATTTGTACCTAGTTCGATAGGCTTCCATTCTCCTTTCAGTGTTAGTATGTTGGCATTTGAACAATAACGCTATCTTTCCAATACTCAGGTCTAGTCTACTCATTATTGAGACTGCACTATAACATCTCCTACAAACACAAAATAACTTACGACATTTTCCGGCAGAGGGCGTGAGTTTCGTCACTTCCATCAGCGCAGTCTTTTGTTCCATCACATCGCTTATCCACTGATATCCTCTTACCATCAAGACATTGGTATTGGAAAAACCTAAAACAATTATTTTTTAGACAATTTAAATGAATTACTTAAAAGATGACTTATTATGATAAAAGATATATTAGGTTAGTTCCTTTACCTCTCACACGATGCCTCATCAGATCCATCAGAACAATCTAACACACCGTCACATTGTCTCTCTAGTGGAATGCAGAAATCACTACATGCATGTTCATCTGCACTGTAAGTAATAACAAATACATATATTAATTGTTTCACTACTTAAATTCTTATAATAATAATACACTGTACACAAGACATCTATACTAATATTATTAGAACTTGTCCCATTTTTTTTTTTAAGTAACAAAAGAAAATACATAGCTAAGTAGACTGTCTGACGATTTTAAACCTACTTAAAACATATAGAGGAGGTACCAAGTCTATTTTTGAAGAAAGTATAATTTGATTTGATCACTTATGACATAAAATTTGCCAACAAATATAATTATGTTAATTGCTATGCAATATATTATATGGTAGTGGATGGAATATGGATTATATTTATATGGCCTAACAGAATCAATATTTATAGAAATAACTTTGACTAAATTTATTCCAGTTTCCAGTTTTATGTCACCCAGACTTGGGTGTTACTATCAGTTATGATTTGAAGTGGGAATGTCACATCATGAATATTGTGAAAAAGGCCTTTCACCAAGAACACTCTTAAAGATATATAAATTACATTAGGCCACTATTAGAGTATGCCTACAGCATTTGGGATCCTTATTTCATAAAGGATATTAGTATGCTTGAAAGGGTTCAAAGAAAAGCCACGAAAATGATCAGGTCACTCAGGAAGAAATCTTATAATGAGCGTCTGAAAGCACTTGACCTTACTGATTGAGGAAGTAGGAGATTAAGAGGAAATCTCATTGAAACCAATAAAATCCTCACTGGCCACTATGTTCCAGGAATTGAGAAGCTCTTTATTTTAAGTGAAAATACACATTTGAGGGGTAGTTCTTTAAAACTTAAGACCACTCAACATAACACAAATTCCCTAAAGAACTTTCTCCCAAACCGAGTAGTAATAATTAATAATAATTTTTTATTAATCAGACAAATACAGTCCATCGATTGATTAGTGAGTTAGTAACAATAGTTTCTTAAGATCTATGTTAGAGAATTAGGTAATAAAAACTATCAGGTACAAAGCCCTGCGGAGATGTCGGAGCAGTGTCGTAAATAGGGGCACTCCATTCTTTCGACTATCATCCGTAAGATGTTGCTGTAGCTGCCCCGCACCCGGCGCACCAAAGAAGCGCACCGCTTTCGCATAGTGGCGAAAAAGCAATCCACCCGCGCCTCTGCAAACATTCTTGATGCACTGCAGAAGCGAGGCAGCCCCAACAACATCCTAAATGCGTTATTATACTGCACCCGAAGCGAGTTGTATGTTTGTCAAGTAAAACTGGCCCATAGGCTGCACGTGTAGAAGTTAGTGCAATATGCTCTGAATAATGTGACTTTTACGTCATGAGAACAACGTACAAACCTACGAGCCAGCATATTTGCTCTCACCGACAACGCTCTTCGTTCTCTCTCTATATCGCCATTATCTTTGAGGTCGGGAGTAGGACGTGCCCAAGGTATTTAAACTTAGTAACTCGTAGTGGCCGATTGGAATAGGCTTCTGGAAAGTGTAATCAGTGCACCATCTCTGAACTCCTTTAAAAATAGATTGGATAGTTTCTCCAAATCTCAAAATACACGCGCATCAGCTTATTAAGCTGCTAGTGTGTTTATATACATAATAATAATAATAAAACTAAACTTACTTGCAATCAGTTCGTCTTTTGGATCGCAATATATTTGTGTGTGAAGAGTTACTAAAACAAAACAGGTTTACAATTAGTCATAGAAAGCATACAAATTGCAAAATTAGTGTTTATAGATAGTAGTACTTTATAATATCAAAAAGTTACTAAATTATTACAATAGAGGCAACTATTATGTATGCATTAATCCAAAAATAATTATATGCATATAAATCTATGTATGTTTTGATATCTCATATATAAATAAGTTTTTTTTATAATTTGCTATATAAAAGAATAAATTATAATAAAATGCATTTAAAAACATACCTGAATCCATCTGTTCCTAGATAAGAAACCTCTGCAGCACCTACAAGTTAATATAAAAGGAATCTTGATGATTCAAATATTGTACAAAATAATTCTGTATGAACAATAGCTTACCAAGAGCAATAATAAAAGTAATTAAATACATTTTTAAATACTTTAAGCTAATAATATGTGCACATCGTCACAAAATTGGTTATAGTATAATAGTTATCAAATTAGAATTATATTTTCCTGTTTGTTATTCGCGAATGACCTCATAAAACAATAAAATTATCTTCGTTGTTCAGACAGCAATTAAACATTATTTGAGTGCCGTATGGTGCATAAAATTGATACACTATCGTCCAGCATCAGTGAATAAGGTCAAGGTCACGCCGTCGCTTACTATACACAGCCGATATATTTATAACTTTATATTTACAATAGTTAACCTAAAATAGTTTGTTTAAATTTATCTAAACTTTGCTTACAATATTTCCTCTTTTTTAATTATTGCCCAGCTTTGCGATGATGATGATGTTAATGTATCCCTAATGGGAAAGGCAAAGCCCAAAGGTGGAGGATGCTTAGCTAATTGCGACTTATTTTCAAAATTTAAACAAACTTAATTGACAGTTGACACTGACATTTTATAACCGAGTGCAGTGTTGTTATAAAAAAGGTAAACAAATAATTTTCTTCCGAATCTCATTATTTTTATACTAGTCTCTTAGTTTATAAGTAAAATGGAGTTCGTAGGACTATAGTTATTTTGCAGTTTTTTCACAAAAGACATAACCTTTTTAAGTTTAATATCCAGACATATAAATTACAATTAAAAAACATAATAATAAAATAATATACATTGAAATAAATAACTAACCTTAACATAAACTAAAATATATTATTAAAAGGAGTCCCTTTAGGCAAGGTTCCGAAACAAACTTAAACTTATACAAACTTAACTTAACTTTGTTCTTTTTAAGTCGTCGTGTTATCTTCCTACTAATCAGCAAACGATAGTTGACACAATTGAAACGATAATTAAAATTGTGTAATTTACAATAGTTTGAATTCACTATTAACTACTAAACTTAAGGGGAACTTACACGGGTCGATTTTTGCCGTGCGGCTAGTCATAAACCGCCTCATCAAGATGCATTGCTTGCCTATTTACACATATGACTAAAATTGCATGCGGTTGGGTCATTTTCTTTCAAAATGTTGAGCAGAATGGCCGGAATCGAAATAGTTAGTCAACCAATTTTTCAAGAATTGCTGCATGAATAAAAAAAAAATGGTGCGTGTACCTACTTAAGTACGCGCGTAAGAAGTTATACTTCTTTGGATTTCTTTATTTTTTTAAAATATTAAATAATTAATAATAAATATTAAGCGTTAAAAATCTAATAATAATTAATAAATTATTAATTAATATTTATAATAATTATTATTTTATTATATTATTATTTCAATTTAATAACTAGGTAGGTTTCATAACCTTTTAACTAAGTAACAATAAGTCTTTGTGAAAAAGCATTGCTAAATTTCTTTGAAAAAATAATTAAAACCCCTTTATTTGTTTAAAAGGTACTACAAATGTCATTATGGTCATTCAAAAGTCACTAGTCGCATGCGGTGGTACGCCACACCGCAAACGTAGGATGCTACCCAACTTTGGGGCTTGCGGCTTTAGTCACTTGCGACCTAGCCGAATTATCATTTAGACGGTCGATTTTAGCCGCACGCCACGGCTTGTAACCCCCACTTTACCAATGAAAATTTATTCATCATTGTTCCTTAGTGTGAAAAGCTAAGTATCGGCTATAACGTTTTTTATCGTTTCTATGATTTAGTGTTGTTTGTAGTTTATTCCAATACCGATATATGTTTGTAAAATTCGAAATGATCAAATATTCTACAAATTTATTGCTGTGTTTGCCTTACTGTATTAGTCTACTGCTTTTTTATAGTTTTTAAATTATAAATCATCACAGAATAAAAAGTCTTTACTTAGCTATAATTTTTTATCTTGACTGTTGACAAACGAGTAACGACAATTTACAACGATAAGTGATAACCTATTAATTACATTTTTAATTTTTTCGGTTTCAAAAATCAAAACATTTGACTAATTTTTAATATGCCGAATTAGGCGGAGTTTTTGTAACGAAACGATTTTTTTTTTATATTCGAGTACTGTGTGTATTGATAAAATCTAAAATGATATTTGTCTAATATTTGAATTGATACCAATAGTCATGGAAGTAAATACAGAAAGACCAAAGGAAATGAACTTTTTCTTTGCATTCATTAAGACTATAAAGGCTTTTCTTTTAATATTCCTTAGTAAGTTTATAATTTTTCTATCTACATATACAATAGTTGTTTATTCAGAATAAGCTCCCTTTAAAATAATCTTATTTAGCTAATTTGAGACTAAAATTTTGAAACTTAATCTATGATAAAATTTGAATAATCACATGATCTTTATAGATTTCAATGACTACATTTTTGTTTACATTTCATTGGTTACTTTTTCAGTATATATTGGGAGTAACTTGCACTCCAAGTATGTCAATTTTTTATTTGAAAATGACAGAAATTTCTTATACCTCTCTGACTTGGAGCGAGAAATGTCCTTCCGCACAGAAATGGGATTCTATTACTCATACTATAAGACAATTGTGGAGGAGAAACCATTTGTTGCTGGCATTTCTAAGTTGATGTATGATCGAATTGTCGAGTATCCCAAAGAAGTAAATGCCTTTAATAGATTTAATATACACCCAGAGGTATGATCTTACCAAAGTTATAACATTTTTACTGTGTAACTATTTTCATCCCATTTTTTACCTTTTAAGCTATAATACTCATCTGTCTCTTAATCGCAGTGTAAACACAATTGGACAGAAAGATATGTAAGAGTACTTTTGTTAAAAACATGTATTTGACTCATTTAGGTTTTATGAATAAGGGGGTAAAAGTTTATCGAAGAATTATCCAATTTTTTAAAAAGATGGAAGGGATTTTAATTTAGAATCCAACACAAGACCTGCAGATACATGTGTTAACCATTGTGTCTCACAGCAGTTATTTATAACACTACAATTTTACATTTAATGCAACAAAGATTGGTATTGAGTATATTTAAAGAAAATGAATCATAAATTACAGGTCCTAGTAGGAGCTCTATACCGTTATTTAGCGCCATGGCTCAATACCACCACATATCGCCAGTGCCACATCATAGACCGTGGAGAAGGCCACGATCCAGTGGAAAGCTGTGTTGGTTTGGGACACCCAATTTTCTTTTATTTGGAGGCTGTGTGGATCTTTGCTGGAATTAATGTTGCAGCATTGTTTTTGCATGCTATGGAATTAAGGTGAGTGCCATAACAGTTATTTACTACTAAATGTTTAAGTAATTTAATGAAGTAAGTTCTAGTAAACTTGGAGTTTCAATGGAAATCTCACCAGCGTTTAACTAAAATGATTGGCTGAGTCTGTCCCAATTGATGTTATAGCAGTATTATTCAACTTGCAGTAATTTTAAACAAATTATTCCAAAATTAAAAAAAAAATACCTTTTATTCTAAATCAACACCATTTTTATTTTTAATTATACATATCAAGTATATAAGTTAAGTATGTATTTAAATCTGTTTGACATCCTGGTGTACACAAAAGCTGTGTCCAGTTTGTGTTTCCACCACACTGTTATAAACTTCTTTTTTATTTCAGATTATGTGTATAATAAATAAAAACTTGTAGTTTATCCTAATTTTAATTTTACCGTATGAGATATCTAATGTTAGATATAATTTAATCAACAACTCAGTGTAGCTGTCTAATGGTAAACTATAATTTTTCAGTGAAAGCTACCTTGGTGGTAGTCTAGCTGTTCTACAATACTTTGCCAATCATGCTGAATGTACACGGGTCCAATGGGCACCCAATGAGAGGGAGAACTTTGCTGGGCCCTTATTGTTATTACAGACTTATTTGCTGAGCATACAAATACATGACAAACGGAATACGGTACAGCTACAGGTAACTTATTAATTAATATAAATTTATATTCTTACTATGAAATTATTGCTAAATTTACAATGCTGTGCCAATTGAGGAACTCAAAAGCCTGAAGTATTTATGCATAAATTTTTGTTATTTCTTATGCTTTTCTTATAATATCTGAGAACTTGAACAATAGACTTAGAGTCTGGCTAGTGAAAGAAGATAACGAAAAAACGCACTAAATTAAAAAAAAATGGTATGGTATCCCTAAAAGTTTAATATATTTTGTGGATTAAACTTACTTGATTTTATTTTATTATTTTTTACATTGATAGTAACTGTATTTCTATGAAATTAAATACTATACGTATTTAGTCTTTTACTATTGATACTTAAAATGACTAGCATTACATGGAAAACTAAAAGTATATTTATTATAAAACACAACTTTATTCAGAATATTCAGATCCTGGGAAAGAAACGAAATATTCTATCAAATAAAACTAAGTTTAGGCTATTATACCTGTTAACTATTCGGAAAAATATATAATAGAAATAAAAATGAGTAATTGCATGAAGTATCAAGACAATAAATCATACTAACCTAAGAAATTCAATGACATTCAGTGTTGCCATCTGAAAGTTTTCAAATAATTAAATTATCTTCTGTCATTAGCCAGACTCTAGCACCATGACTCCTATTTATCAAATTCCAATACATATGGCAGTCATACATATAATCACTATGGCTTGGTTCTGAATCTTATTGTATATCGGTCGGTTATCAAAAGCTGGCGCGTTCACAGTACTCACACTAATGCAATTTCACTATACAGTATGTTTAAAAATATGAGTTTTTTGCCAAGCTAAATTTAGTCTGGTCTGGTTTTAGTAAGTTTGGGTGGGTTGGGTTTTGTGTTTTTTTCTGGATATTATATATTATACGATAATATAATATATTATTTTGATTGCGTACTTCACTAACAATTCTTTCATTAAACTGTTTTATTGAGATGCTTAAAATAATTAAAAACATTGTACACTATTTCACGTGATTGTCCTGTTAATGATTTGCCGGAACCAATTATTTCATAAGACATTTTTTCCTAAGTATTCTAACCTCCAACCGAATAAGTAAACAATCACAGACCAAATAATAATGAGAAAAAAGATCAACATGTAAATGATCAAACAATAGCAAAAGCAAAACAATAACTGTCTCTTATACTCATAAGCTTGACCGAGCGCGAGAGAGACGGACAGTCTTTTCATGATGCATATTCAGTGTGACGTCACGCCTCGCGCTTTTTCACAGACACTACACAAGCACAAAGTGTAAATGTGTTGAAGCCGCCAGCTTTAGATAACAGACCAATACTAACTGGGTATATAGGAAGGAAAAGCTATTGGTACAAAGCCACGGTTTGAACGCGACCAATTAATTATTCCATGAATATAACATTCAAAGCACTTATAATTATTATTATTTTCAGATTGGAATCTTACTACTCAATTGCCTATGTCTCCTATTTTGGCAATTCACACAATTCATATTTCTTACCCAAATTGCCATATTCTTTTTGATGGAACAGTTGAGGGTTATAGAAACACGGCAACTTTCTATTTTACTACACTCCCACTATTGTGGCTTACATATGGCAATACTTTTACTACAAGGGAATGAAATGTTAAAATCATCGTTATATGCTTGTCTTTTTCTAGTAGTTTCTACGTATTGTCTATTCTTTAGTGGCCTTCGTATAAAGGTCAAAAATAGATTTGACTTTTTGATTGAGTCCTGGCTAGTTATACTTAGAGTATCTATTGTTATCTGTGGTTCGATATATTTGAAAAAAATAATTAGCGACTTCCTAGAAGTGGAAGAGGACACGCATGTCTGGGAGATTCTATTTTCAAAATTCACAGATTATAAAACATTCCATACAATGATGTATACTTGTTCCGAAGTATTTGACTTCCTACCGTTGAGTTCTATTATAAATATGACTAAAACCTTTTTAATTCCATATGTGTTATTTGGAGTAATAAACGCGGTATACTTTTGGATTAATAAGAGTAAGACAGAAAATGTTGTAAAGGGGATAGAAGAGGATAGACTGATCGATGACGAGGACAGCGGAATTGAGAATAATGAAGCGAATATTCGAAAAGAGGACACAGATTTGGATGTTTTAGATAAGGAAAAAGATAATACAGAAAAGGATAATTTAATACAATTTCTCTCTGGTTTGTCTATGGACGCTGCGGTATTCTATAATATATCGCAGATGGTTGTCTATGGTGTTATGGCAGCGTTAGTGATGCGACTCAAGCTGCTATTTACGACGCAAATGTGCTTGATGTCTTCTTTGGTGTTCAAGAAAAAGTATTATATGTAAGTTTTATATTCATTAATTTTTATGGGATGATCTGATAACAGTCCATTGTTTACTATAATGAAGTACAGACATACAAATAATTGTGTAGTCCAGCAGTTACTGTACTAGTTCATACTAAAATAAATTCTTAATGACGCGGGTACTATTTTTTTGCAGATACCCACATTCCGTTATGAAGTATTTAGTAATAATATTGATTGTGGGTATTATTCCTATGCTGAGCAGTCTAGTCAACAATGTCAGTAAGGAGATGTCTCACGTAGGTAAGATAAAAAAATACACTTATATATTTAATTCCGTAGAATTCTGACAGCTATCATTCTTTGACGTGGCAGAGATTACCAACCTTTTTGGCCGGGCACATTTTTCAATTTCAATACGAGTCTGAACATCTGAGTCTATACATACATTTTATTTGTTAGTTTATTAAGCGCGGTGGTCCACATTATAAGTGATTTTACGGCGACTGATAATTACTTCCCTTTTCATCACTAATAGTAAAAAACGTTTACTTAAGGTTTACTGAACCTGGAATTAGTAGACAGTGATACCAGCTAAAGAATAAAATAAAGTAATTAAAGTTAATTCGATATATTGTTCGTGATATTGAAATATTTGTTATTTTTGTATTATGTCACTTGAGTAAGTAAATATTAAAATTATATAAGATTTAACTTTTTGTAGGTAAAACATAAAAAATACGTAGCATTTTATTGCCCTGAAATGGGTCCCCTTTTCGGTGGAGAATCTTTTTAATAGCAACATTTATGAAATGTCAGAATTCTACGGAATGAAAATTCAGAGTATAGCTAAGATATTTGTCATTGGTTTAGTGTCTATGTTTGTTTATCTATCTTGTGTTCATCATTTTTAAAACATCCAGAAGTTAACGGAGTAGGTTTGATTCCCGGCGACACGCTAATTGTTTCAGGCATTGTAGAACTCGACGAATTTTTTTTTTAACGCGACAACGTCTTATAATTCGATGGAGCCGGCTGCACGCACAAAAAACATGACGCATGCGGCGTTACCTCGCTCTGAGGCGTTCCATTTAAGGCTTAAAGTGCAAGGGAAAGCGCGGAACGAGCGACAAAGAGGCACAATCGGCCTCCGCGTTCGGCAGCGTTCGACATCTTTATTGTATATAAAGTATTTATCGTATTATATCGATTATATTCGATTTACGACATCACATTAGAAACCTCAAAAATAACAGTATTTCTCCATCTATATTTAATGGATGTTATTATACATATAAACCTTCCTCTTCAATCACTCTATCTATTAAAAACCGCATCAAGATCCGTTGCGTAGTTTTAAAGATTTAAGCATACATAGGGACAAAGAAAGCGACTTTGTTTTATACTATGTAGTGATATCACATTCTCCTTCTTTGAATTCCTAACTATTTTCAGGTGAATTTAGTGATTACAACCAAGAGGAACTTCTGCTGTGGTTAAGGCAGCAAGGTCCCGGGGCGGTAGCAGGTTCGATGCCTCTCCTCGCCACGATAATGCTCACCACAAAAAGGCCTATAGTTGCGCATCCACACTACGAACATTTGGAAGCGAGGTAAGATGGACTGACAGATATAGAGACAGACTTTTAAGACCTAGAGAAATATCGTCACTCCGTCGATATGGATATTTAAAAGGCCGGCAACCCACTTGCGAGCCTTCTGATAATATCAGGATAAAGATATTTATTAGAGGGCGTCATGTGGGTAAAGTGCGAGCATTAATTAAATTGTACTAAAGATTAAGCCAAAAACGGAATACTTAATACAAAAAGGTTCAAACGTTTACGAAAGGAAATAAATCTATAATAATGATTGCACGTAGCATTGCCTCTGGTTTAAAAGTGCGACTTAAGATATAAGTAATAGAATTCTAGGACTTAAAAATGTCATAAAAATGTATATATAATTATATAGGTAGTAAATTTACAATTAATTTAACTTCTTTTTTGACGTTCATAAGTGTAATTGTTTACCTATATGATTAAAGATATTTTGAGTTTGATTATATCTCAAAAAGTTTGCAAAAGTGTCATACTTAGACTGTGTTTTTGATGGTACAGGAACCAAAAGAGCAGTCACTTGAATAAATTGCTAACGGCCGCCCATGGACACCTGCAACGGCTAGTGTGTGTTGCCGACCTTTGGTTGTAATAAAATTACAAGCCCATAAGCCTGTCTGATACGACTTCGTAGGTAACTTTTTAATTGAAAATCTTCCAGACAGCGTGCGTACACAGTATACAAGATGTACGGCCGATTTTCACCGCACGAGCTCTACCAGGAGTTGAGCAAACTTCGCGTCACTTATCTCGTCGTTGAGACCAAGTACTGTTACGGGAGGAGTAGGTATGTGTTTTAATCATAGCGAAACAGTTGCTAAACGAAATTTTTACGAAATATAGTTATCAATGCGTCAAAATCTATAGAACGAATTTGACATGTCTATTTAATTCCCAGTATTTTGGTAGATGGTGCTAAATTTAAACGTTACTAAACTGAAATTTAAAACATAGTTTTTATAGTATAAGATCCCGATTTACAACGACCTTCACCGAGATGCTTATTTAATGAAACGTATTTTATATTTAATTTAATATGTCAATAAATATAATCCATATGGGTTGCCTAGCAAATTTCAGTCCAGAGTATGTTTAATTAATATTAAAAAACACACTCAAAATTTCATCAACATCGGTTCAGCAGTTTTTGAGATATGGGTTTAATTAAAAATAATTTTTTCGATATATTTAATTTTACAGCAAAGGCTGCTCCCTAACCGAGATATGGGATCTGGAGTCTCCGAAAAACCGCGAATCGCCGCCCCTTTGCGACACGCTTCTAACAACGACGGTAGACCATTTCTACCCGCTTTTTCGTAATGCGCACTACGCTGTGTTTAGGATACATGACCTAAGTGTGAGGTTAGTATATTTTGGTTCAGAGTCAAAAATGTATTTATTCTTTAGAAACTCTTGTGAAATCATAGAAAATTAAATTATTTAAAAAAATATTTAGAATTTTTGTGTAGCGGGTAGACAAAAATTTATTTTTTAAATTTCACTTGGAAGTGGTTGACCTCGCTTTTTTTGATTTTATTTTAATTATACTGTATTACTGCAGCGAAGATTTAAATAAATAACAGATATATCCTGGATATAGAAACCTGGCAATAATTGTTTCGAATAAAGGCAAGAAGTTCACAACAGACGCAAAAATGTGTCTGCTCCATCTATCGACTTAATAATATAATTAAAATATATTTATAACAAATTTTATTTTTACAGGTATATGCCAAGGAGTTTTGACACTTGACATCAATAAGTGACATGAACCTAAGATTTTAGAATTTGAGACTGACATTGACATTTCGTGAAAATATTTTTTTTCCATTTACCCAGTAATTAGCCTCTTAGATTTTATGACTTTGATTAGATTCTTGAAATTAGGTAATGCAAATCCAGTACCTAATTTGTTTTCCGCGTAACTCGCAAAGCCGTAACTCTCAGCCGAAACATGCTGAAGTCTCCTTTTGTATTGTCTTCCTCGGCAGTGGTAATTCCCAAATATCTATGGTGTATAGTAAAATAGCATTTGTAATACTTCACGTAGCGCTAAGTCTATTCATAAAATATTCTAGCTGCACTCTATGAAATAATCATTGGTCTCTTTCTATCAAATTGTGTTTACGCTGTGACAAAAAGAGATAGATGAGACTATTACTACCAATTCGACTTAGGGAGCGTTCAAGTATTACGTCACGCAATTCTTGGAGATTATTACACCCCCCTGTAACGCGCCGTAACGTTTTTCTGTACCCAATAGTAAAACGTTTCGTGACCACCAAAGTGACTCTTTATACCTAAAAGTTACCATTATGTAGTGTAGTGGAAAGTCGAAAATAATATTAACAATAACGAGTAATTCAAACCCCGCCCCGCATCGTAACGTTTTAGAAAAGGAAAAAAAATTCGTTACGTAATACTTGAACGCTTCCTTAGGGTCCTTCAAGACAATGGAGTACCGATTCTTAAAAGGCTGACTACAAGTTTTCTGGCAATACATGAGCCTCCTGTCTATTTGCCTCCTCTTACAAAAAAAAAAAAGGTATGAGGGTTTATGTGTTAAGGACGGGATAAGTTAAGACAAATTTGATTAATCTAAAATAACTTTTAGTTTATTGAAACATTGTTATTGATTTATGTATAACTTAAAATGTAGGTAAAATAAGAATTTTGAATTTTCTCGAATATATTTGAAAATATGCGTCACTTATGGCCTAGACATTCTCTAGAAGAATCTAAAAGATAATAATCCCAGTCCCAAAGAATATGGAACTTCACAGATGTAATGTTAATACTTAAAATCCTTTTTATAACATGTTCATAAAAACTACTATTCATTTAAGCAACACTTTTCTTTTAAAATTTGACAGAAAGAGAAAAAAAATAATTTTAAATAAATTTTGTAGTTTTTATGATTAAGTTATATTTGATCATAATCTTTTTGTAATATCAAATAGTCTGTATTGAAGCAAATAAAAAATATTTGAGTATTAAGACAATAATGTGATGTTTTAATATGTTGTGAAATATGTTATTCTCATATTGTATTCAATTTTATTTAACATGTATAAAAATATGGGCAGTTGCTTCAGGGTGCGACTCTTATCCCTGGGGTCGTAGGTTCGCCGTTCGATCATCGGCTGTGCACCAATAGACTTTGTCCATGTGCGTGTTTGACTGATTTATTTAAACAGATTTTAAATTCACTTATAAACCATTTATTGAAGTGAAACTTCTTTATCGACGTATGGGAGAAATTTTGTAGCAAATCGTCACGTTTTTCGGTTACGCGCCATGTTGCTTTTGAAGTCAATTTTCTTTATCGGCGTTGGAAAAAAATTACCGTCACATTTTTCGGTTACGCGCCATCATTTTCTTGTCCCTACCACAGTTGATCCAAAGAGATTCGAAGCCATTAATAACAAAAATATAAAATAAAGATAACAATGATAGTAATAATTCTATTACAATTAATGAAATTCTGTAATAATCTTAGTAGTAATAAGGTAAAATGAAATAATTGTATTTGTATTCATGTCTATTATAATAAAAGCCTTTTGTTAAACTTTATCTAATTTAACTTTATTTAACCAATTTCTATAAAGTTGCATATAGAAGATCATTTTTCGAAAAATAAGGTCATAAAGAAGTTTCACTTCTTACCTGTGTACACCTAGTACACGCACATATTTTTATTGTCCGTTAGATGGCGTTTATAACAGTAAGGTATGGTTCGATCCTAGTGAAACACCTTATCGGGATGTAGCAACAACGTTGATACACAAAATATTGTTAGACGCATACCTCGCTAGTCGCTACTCGCCAGTGATCGGCGTCTTCAAAGCAAGCAATGTGTGTGCGAATGTGCGTCTGACTATATACTTGGAATTTAATTATGTATCTAATTGTTAGTTGTTATGAGATAAATTGAAAAACGGCTGTAGGTTTTATGTTTCTGTTAAATTATAAAACTCTTAGGGTCTGTTTCACAATGTACGGATAAGTTCTACATAAGTTCCAAATTAGCTATTTATTACTTATTGGTAGGATAAACGGGATTGTTGCGTTTCACGACTGTCAGATAGTGCTATTCGTCACATAAAGTCCATCATTCGTTATGAGTCCGATGAAGTGTCAAATATCACAATTTATCTTCCAAATAATTTATGTGTTGCTATTTGGTAGTATATTACATTGTGAAACAGACCCTAAATAAATTAACATATTATAGAGTTTTATAAATTAACAGAAATATAATAATTGTTGTTGAAGAGGACACAAAACTCGTGTAATCAATGATATATACAAGTTTTCAACCTTAGACACTTGAGGCCTTCGGATCAGTTAGTTGTAGGACTGGTTGAGGATCTTCCCTTTAGGTTGGAGGAAGAACAGCACCTTCCTCCACAATCCACGCAGGCGAAAGCTAGTATAATTGTATTGTTAAATATTAATCTTGGTCATGAATAAACTGAAACAAACTTAACAAATTTTTTAACATATTTCTTCCAATATAATGCAAGAACTTTCTCCTAAATCGAGTAGTAGCTGACTGGAATAGGCTTATGGAAAGTGTAATTAGTGCACTTCCGCATTGAACTCTTTTCTACAGGCAGCATAATTTCTCCAAGACTGCAGTGAGCACATAATAATAAAAATTTATCATGAAAATGGGATCTGTATTATTAACACAAATATTTCCTATAGGATAAATTTCTAGAGATTAAAGATCAAATATTATTCAGGAATAAATCAGATAATTCTGAAAAAAATCATATTAATTTAAACAATTATATTGTATTGATTTATACAAAATATTTTTTTTTTATCAATTAATATAATAAATATAACAGTATAGGGTTTCAAAGAATATTGATGTATTAATTTTTGCAATTAATAACTAAAGTTATGTTAATTTACCAAAAAAGTTTTACTTCTGCAACAGTTACACACTACACTATATTTTATATAACTTGTTTTTTAGAGTACTTTTTATCTATCATGGTCAGCTAGACTATCTGAGTTAATGAGTACTTGCATATATTAAAGCATATATCACAGGAACATTGTTATAAATAAGGCACATTTAAAATTCTATTTCATATAAACATAGTACAAATCAAATTCGAAAACAATTCTTATTCAAATTATAAACTAAAAAATAAAAACTAAATTATTTTAAATAACAAAATTTCCTAAAAACTAAACTCCAATCTTTTTTGTTCGGCTAGACTCTTGAAGTTTTTGAGTGTAGATTCCAAACTATGTAATGATTTAATGAAATATTGTCTCACCTTAAACCTCATGGATCACATAATTCATATTTTTCTAAACATTCTATGAGCCATCCGAGAGGTAATGCTTTGATGTGTGCCATATTGTACATTGGTTGATAGGTATCTTTGAAAATAATGTAATGTGAGCATATCTCCAATTTACCACCCTTCTTAGCATGATATGGAATAAGTTTTTCAGAATCCGGAATTAATTCTGGATTAGGTACACGCCGTAATACAATGCCACTAGCATCTGTTATCAATTTGGATAAAATTGCTTTTGTCAATACAAGAGTTTTGGAGAGTTCATATGAGGTTGTAAAATTGTGTAAATAGAAATGGCAGCCGTCAAAGAGGCCTGGCAACTGTTTGTATTTGTTGTATCTGGAAATTTTAGGGCCTCTATATAACTTATTGCCAATACCCTTTACTTCATACTCTTCAAAGTGTTCCAAAGAGTCCTCGGTTGATTTGTTTACCCATTGGCTTGATAAAATCCAAATACCATATACAATCCCTTGTAATATATCTATGCTGGGTACACAGACACCATCCTCTTCATCTGTTACTAAATGAGTTACTTTCTTTGTAAATTTTGTTTCTAGATGTAAATTAGAATGACGCTTAGCTAATAGCTTCAACTTGTTTGAAACGGACCGAACATGAGATAAACAGAATACTCTTATGTCATCAAAATCTAATTCGGAATGAATATTTGCAATATGTGAAATATTAACACCTTGTGTTTGCTGTAAATCTTCAGCAGCTTCTAATAAAATAGATTTTATTTCTTCTGAGGCTAACTGTAATGGGGTTTCCCCTTTACAATTTCGTGCTTCTAGGTCCGCACCATTCTTAACTAATTCTGTAGCAATATCTACATGACTATACCTAATAGCTTCATGAAGAGGTGTCTCATTATTCTGCCCTGGAACATCTATAAGGGTGTTAAATTGCAACAGAAGTCTGACTAATTCTAAATTGCCATTTTGAACGACCTCATGTAGTGGTGTCCAACCAGCATTGTCTTTTGTATTGGAATTGGCCCCCATATTTAGCAAGTCCATAGCTCTGTCAACTTTACCTAGTCTGCACGCTACATGAAGAACAGTTTCGCCTTTACTATTCTTTTTCTCAATACCTTTAGTATTTATATTGGATAATAAAGAGGTGTTTTTATCTGATTTTAAAACTTTCTGTTTATTTTCATGACCTGATTCAGATTTTTTATTACTCTTTGAATTTTTTGCTGCTTTAGACGCTTCTATATTGGTCGGTCTCAAATCTTTACACAATTTATTGAGTTCCTTAATAGATTCAACACATGTTTCCAATTGTTCGTCTACATATGTAATACAACCATCAAGCGGAATCTTGCATGTGGGACAGAGTTTTAAGTCTCGAAAGTGATTTGAACAAATCATATGAAAACAAGAGCTAAGTGTAACAGGTTTTACGCACATTTCTTTGCAATGTCCACATGTATAGTCTTTTTTAACCGTCTCCACGGCTTTTAAAAAGTTAAATAACTTATCAGTTGACATTTTCTTATTTATTTTATAAGAAATATAATTATTTATGTACTATTAATTAAATATTAAAAATTCCGGGATCGTTGAGCTTTAAAGTTTACAAATTAAGTCAACTTTCAAGTTTCAATCGTGTTTTTTTTTTATAATTTATTTCATAACCATGGATACAGAGTCTTTCAGTCGGAACATAGAATGTTTCAATCGTGACTCGTGAGGAGTTGCCAACTCTCGATTTTAAAAGTGCGCTGATTGCTGAAAAAGTTAAAAAATCCTCTTTTTAAGTATTTATAGAATATAAACTAAATTAAATTTCTAAATTTAATTTAATTTCTTTTTCAAAGAATAAGTCTCGCAATACAGCGAGGAAATGCTGCCAGCGTTATGGTAGGGGAGCCCACGATGCTAAATGGGGATTAGCGTCGTAGAGACCTATTGGGATGCAAAGCTTAGATAATAAGAAGAAAAAAATGTTGTATGATATATACCTTTTCATCGGTGGGGGAAGCGGCTATAGATGATTAAATATGTAAAAAAAACTGTTGCATGGACATCCTCGAGCGCGTCAGATATTGATAGCATCAATGCCCTACGTATTTTTAATAATGTACGTATGTTAATCTGATCGTTTGCATGATGCGGGTGGTTGTATTTAAGGGTTGAAAATGAAAAAAAAATAAAAATTATCGAGCGCGTCAGATTTTCTAAGGGAGTGTTAAGTGCACCAAAAGAAAGCTCTCATTCACTAATCTGACGATTTCGATGGGACGCAAACTCACGGCCATTTTCATAATTTGCAAAAAAAAATCGCAATTTTGAAATACTCAAGCGCGTCAGATTAAGATATATGTGGTTCATCTTTATGTTCTAAACGTACTGTCTCATAATCTGACGATTATCTAGAGGGATTCGCCTGATCTGACAAAAAAAATTTAGAAAAACGGTTCACCTAAAGGGCCATCCCTGCAACTTCCCGCTAATTCCATTCCTGGGCGCTTAAAATTGATATTTTGAGCTCGCTGAGTTCAAAGAAATAATATTTATATGCATTTGAGCTCTCCCAGCTCGAAAGTCTGATAGAAGTTTCATAGAACACTATTTTTGGAATTTTCAAACCGCAATAACTTTTGAATGGATCAAGCAATTAAAAGTAAAGTTTTAATTGATCGAACCACAAATTTCGGAGTAATCCCGAAAAAACACTTTTTCGGGTTTCTTTCGTTTACGATATCTCTCGAACGAATCAACCGCTTTTGACCAGCTTGGTGGCGATCGACGTGGTTTTTCAAGTTCAAAGGCGGATTAGTTTTTGAAGTTGATCGATAAAGAAACCACTTAAAAAAAAATATTTCTTATTTTTTTAAGATTTTTCTAAATTTCTCAAAATCTATCGGTCCGAATCGGTTCAAATTCACAGGAAATATAATTTTGAGGGAAATATTTAGAACGCCGTTTAGTACATTCCGATCGGTTTAAGGAAATGTAGGCATCACGCAGCTGCACGCATTTAACTTTATCGACGAATTTTTGTTATTTCGGCTTGCGGAAATCGTCAGATTATATATTTCTCATTATTCTTGAATTATTTCCTTCAAAATAAAAAAAAAATTAGCTACGCTCGAGAATGTCGAGATGACGTTTTTTTTTACAACTTTGTTGCCCTCCCCTTTTTTTACGTCACTTTCAAATTGTCAGATTAGTGGAATATACACTTTTTAGGATGTCATTAACTCACCCTACCTTAATCTGACGCGCTCGGGAATTTCTGATGGTCAATTTTTTTTTACTAATCTGATCCTGTCTCCTTCACGGGCGGCCTTATATATGGGCCTCATATTTAGTGGAGGTATGGTGGTACAAGTGGTACAAGGTATCCCCCTATATATTAATCTGCCGCGCTTTAGTAAATCCCGAAATCCCCTCTTGGGCTCCCCTACCATTAAAGGTACACTGCCACAGGGACCTAACTTTTTAAATTTGTTTTGATTTTCTTCTTTCTTCTTTAATTATTTTTATTATTACTTTATAGGTTAAGAAAATTGTAAATACTGTATATTTTGTGTAAATAAAAAAAAAAATTATGTCAATTGTCATGTTATGTTTTTGTTAATTTTAAATACGTATTTACATAGAAGTTTTTAGTGAGGTAATGGTTGTGAAACGTAAATGAACTTTCACAATATGGAAGTCAAAGGTCATGCTTTATCTCGTTTCTTAATTGTACTCTTAATCTCAATATTAATCTTATCCTTAATCGCCTTAACTTCTGGAAGACCAGCTTTAATTTATTTTAACTAATGTTTGTGGGTAGAGAGTGGTAGCTGTGGATCTTAAAGTCACAGAAGCTTAACCTTAACCTTTTGTTATTTGTAATGCAATTCGTTCTTTTTCTATCATGTAAGCACTGGAAGTAGAGTAGCCCTTGTTTTATCAATATAATAGCATATTAATGAAGTTTATTGTTCACTTTACTAGGTTGTAAACCAAGAAGCTTGTGCATTTTAGTTTTATTCCTAAAAATATACTATAGGACTTCCCTGACGCGAATTTATACATTAAATATTTATGAATTTATATATGTATTTTGGTAATATTAAGTTCAAAAAATAATTTTAATTTAAAAATTGTATTCATGTTTAGTAAAAAGCTTTAAAATGTTGAAATTAAGGAACTTGTATTAAACATATAACGAAAATTTTAATATTAGAATAGTGTTTAGTCACTGAAGTAGTCTATAAAACGCAAGCAATGGATTTTATTATAGAAATAAAAGAAATATATAATCTTTAAAATATATTTTTTGAAGTTATACTTCTTTAGACGCGTTATGAAAAATTGATGAGAGTGAAATTTTACGATGCGCGCGCACCGTGACACAAAATTATCAGTATGGGCGCCGAGCGTGAGCGAGCGAGATGGGAATAAGACAATATACAAGTAAAAAGAAATAGAATATGCGTGAAGTTAGCAGCTATGCCAAGAATTTTGAATGACCATAATGACATTTGTAGTACCTTTTAAACAAATAAAGGAGTTTTAATTATTTTTTCAAAGAAATTTAGCAATGCTTTTTCACAAAGACCTATTGTTACTTAGTTAAAAGGTTATGAAACATAACTAGTTATTAAATTGAATTAATAATATAATAAAATAATAAATAATAATAATTATTATTATTAGTATTATTTAATAATTGAATAATGTACTAAATATTAAATATTATTAAATTATTAACGTTAAATATTTATTATTAATTATTTAATATTAAAAAAATAAAGAAAGTCAAAGAAGTATAACTTCTTACGCGCGTACATTAGTACACGCACCATTTTTTAATTTAACATCATTAAACATAGGACTAGATTTAATATCACTGTTAGGAATGTAGGTACTGTTATAAATGCCTTACTAAATGTGGAATCGCTAATTTGACAGTTATCAATCGTATTATTTAATATTCTAATTTCAAAATTTAAAGGCATCGCGTCATATGGATGCATTTTAAATATCTCTTCTGTGGCCAACATTTTTGTATTGTTATGGAACAAAACGTTTAGTTGATGGTTAAATGGGCCATATATCGAAAACATTGGGTTGTGGAAAGGTTGATGTTTGCCAAAGAGTTGATCTAATTTAGTGAAGACATTTGTAATCTCGTGTCTACGCATTTGTGTGAGATTCTTCGTTGCATATAAATGGCCAATGTTTGCCCAACTTATGTAGCAATATTTGGCGTTTTCCTCAGGACACAGTGGTATGATGTCTGGCTGTTCCGCATGTAAAGTAATTAGTTCAGCTGAAAAAACACGTCAAACTGATTACTTCCTCCTTCATTATTTGAAGTTGGTTAAAAAAGGCTTATAGTGTCGTTCCTACTAAATAAGCTAGGTATTTTTTACTTCTTTGGTTAACAATACTTACTAATAAATAAAGTTATTTATGTTCATGTCAATCAGTTAAGGTCTATAGCTGAAGCATTTACTATGTTTCTTCTTAAGATAACCGTAGTAAAATCAAGAGTAAATGCAATGAAGCTTCATTAAAGTAAAATAATATTAAGATTTTTTTTAACATCAATACTTGTTTTTACGAATTTTATCTCAAAATTTACACATATTAATAATTTACGCAAATGTTAATTATATTATGTACTTAAGTATATTTAATCTGTATATTGTTAGTATGTATTAAAAATTAATATAATATTAAATAAATAATATAATTTTTAAAACAGATGCCGTTGGTTCTAAATTATATTATCAATTTGAATGTAAATTAGTGTTGCGCACCTCATACATGAGGCACCTCAAATGTCACACTCAAAGTTGTCAAATGTCGCATCACCTCAAACACACATTTTGTACCGCTTCAAACTCGTTGAGGTATTTCAAAACGCGGGCTAGGCGCTGAATGTGATTGAGGCGGTGAGTCGTATGTCATGAATGAGTGAACGGTTGAGATGAATTGTTTTGTTTTATTTTCCCATCCCATGTAGGACAATGACAATAGTTAAAAATCGTGTCTGATGAGCAACTGATTAAATCGATATTATTGAATGAGTGACAGTGACTGTTCACTGTGACATATTATTGTAATTGTTTTTGTTTGCATAAATAACTTGACTTTTTGAAGTTATACTTCTTTAGGCGCGTTATGAAAAATTGATGAGAGTGAAATTTTACGATGCGCGCGCACCGTGACACAAAATTAACAGAATGAAGTTGCCCACGGAAGATGCTACGGCATTGGACATAATTTAAAAACAACATACGAATAATAGTAGAATTTATGTTAAACTTAATATGAGAATGAAATGTGAGAATAATAATAAATATTTATTTATTTAATTTTTCAAATATAAACTGAATTTTATTGTCTATAATGACTCCTTTTCCAGTCTTTGATTATTTAATTATAATTTATTATTTGCTTGCAATCAAAAACTATTTTCAATAATGCCAAAGAAGTATAACTTCTTACGCGCGTACATAAGTACACGCACCCTTTCTTATTTATTTATTTATGGTCGAAAGACCTGCGCCATAGAGACAATGGGTTCTTACATAAGGGTCTAACAGTACAGAACAGAATCCTCAAATGAAGTGGTACAATGTATTAACTCATTTTATAAAATGAGGTGGGACATACAAACACTTCAATTTCGTTTGTCCTACCCATCACTAATGTAAATATACTAACCTTGATATTCATTAAAGGTCTCCATACTAACAAACGCTACATCACTTTTTCCATGAACCAAAGACAACAGAGCTGCCTTTTCATTGTCGTCATTTTGATAGCACGATTTAGTAAATTTTTCCACTATTTCTTTACTAAAATTAAAATTTTCAATTCCAGGCGCGCAAACTTCATCAAAATAGTTAAATATTTCATTGCAAGTGATTTCTTTGTTTAAATATTGAATAACAGAATGCCACGCGAAGCCATCGTAACGCGGGAACGAGGCTCGTTTCCCGCGCAAATCAGCCATCTTGTTGATTTTGCCGCCCTTTTTGACGTATGCCACAACGGTGTTCATCTTTTCGACGATTGGTGTAACTTCGTACAGAATAGGTTTTAGATTGAAATCTCTGCAAAAACACATTGTTAATTACGTTAAATAAAAATAAATATGCCTAAATTACATTTTTCGCGATAAATGTCAGAAAAAATTGCCTTGAAAATTAGAAAGATTCCTTTATTGATTCAGAGATCTTAGTGTCATTTTAAACAAAATATGATTATACAAATGTAGGAATATATAACATTAAATAAAATATTGTGAGAACTTAACGACGAAGTCGTTTAAAAGCAGCTATTTTTTTAAACCGGTAATTATATCATTAACTTTGATAATTAGTGTGTTCATTTCGTGAAAAAAAAGCAGAAGTTGATAGTTCCAACTACTTTTTGAATATAACCTTGTAAGTTCATATCAAACGTTTATAGATATGAAGTTACAACGAAGATATGAACAACAAATCTTACCTAGTAGCACTCAACATCCAATCACTATCCACGGCTGTGACGTCACACTCCTGATTTTCGACAGCGGCCAAACACGCCTGCTCATTTTCTCTCAAAATACACTGCAATGGCGGAGTAATTCCGTACACAGCGCCCGCTTCGCTCAACCAATCGCATTTATTTTTCGCTAATAGTGATGTTGTACACAGGGTGACGTGTCTAAAAATTAATTTACAAATGGCTACATTAATAAACACTGCCGTTTAATAGAAGATCAATGATTTGACAAAAGATACGAATATACTTTGAAAATTTTATACGAAATGTGGAAAAGTAATTAAGTTTTAGATAAATTAAAGCCGATGTATGTATGGCGATCACCAAGTTATTCGCTCACAAATAAATCTGGGGTCCCATAAGGGCCCCAGGAAATCATGAGAGCAAACATATGATTAATATTTATAATATATATCCTAGCATTAATTGTGATTCATGACTTTTAAGATTAGCTCTAAGGTTTTGAAATTTTAATTTTGTTAAATTTAGTTTTTCCACTTATACGATAATTAGACGCCCGATTCCTCCTTATTAATTTATGTTATCTAATTGAATATTTACTAATCATGCAGCAAAGTAATAAATAAAATAAATAAGTATACTTTACCTTGGCGGGTCGCATCCACTCTGGCTGTATGCCTCCCTAAAGCCCCGGGCTCCGGCCAAATGGTCCAACGGAGTCCTGGGCGGGTATAAGGGAGTTGGAGCCTCGCGGACTTCGAGTAACGCGGAAAGGGCCCCGTGCCAATGACCGTCGAATAATGCCCCATCAGTTAAAGAAGTAATTAGATTAGTCACTGCAACGGAGGCTTTTCTGAAATCGTTTAACAAGCTTACAACTTTGTATGAAAAAAATTATTGCATTATCTCGAGGTGTTGTAAAAATTCTCATATATCTTAATATATATAAATTACGTGTCACGTTGTTTGTCCGCTATGGACTCTTAAACTACCGAACCGATATCAATCAAATTTGCACACCGTGTGTAGTTTGATCCAACTTAAAAGATAGGATAGCTTACATCTCAATTTATACCTGCAATATTATTTTATTGCAAAATATTTGTTTATTATTTGATAGTCACAATTCTAACAGATGGCGCTGTGTTGAAAGTACCAACGTTTCACATAAGCTACAATTTAATGGCATAACAACCAAAAAAGCATGGTGGCCCATGACTGGTGTTCTCCTACCGTTTCCCTTGAATAGTTTGCTACTATGTAATATAACAAAAACCTTAGCCACAGCAACGCTTAGCCGCCGGTCTGCTAGTATAATATATACGTCAGAGATTACGTAATAAGCAAACACCATGTAATTGAAGTGAAAATTTCTTTAGCGGCGTTGTACACTTTTTTTGAATGGGTAAAAAATGTTAAACTCGCGTCAGGACACGTGACCTGATCGAAAATTCGTAAGACGGCTCTCGGATGTCTCAGTTGTCTAGCTGGCGCGGCGTATTTAATGTAATATAAATTATCACGTTTGTATAGGATAGCGCAATAAATAAATATTGTATTCTATCACATAAATGATAGTACTTTTTATGATAATTATTCCCTAACCATTCGAAAATATCAAAAATGGACAACGATAATATTCAAATTTTCACTTCTGCCGGCACTCCCGGAGTGCAACCCGTCGTTTTTTTTATTAGAATGGCATCACCACGCAATATCAGAGACATTTTACAGGTTGCAAATTGTCAACGTGTCAAATGTCAAAGTCAATTTGTCAGTAGTCCGTTGGATAGATCGTTAAGTTCTATCGCTCGGCGCCTCACTGACTTATTTTAAACTCCAGAAGTCGGACGACGATAGTGATAACTATTACTAATCGTTTCCAATCTGTGACATATATTATGGTATATTTTCTATGATGAAAATTTATAAAATCAAAAAATTATTCGAGCTATTTGGCAGATAAATTATTTTAATTTAGGTTTTACCTTTTTGTGTTATGTATTCCATCATTGGACCATCTTTAGTGTAATTTTTTTTGTTATTTATAATTTATGCTAGCTAGGATTACGAAAATGAAAAAAAAAGCTCCAGGTCTGAAAGTTTTTTATTACCTTTTAGCAACGATGACCGGCCATGGTCGATTCAGCCATACACACGGCCTATTATTATCCTTCAAGGGCTGGTATGACCCATCACGACACAAGTATAGGAACTCTGATGATGAGGGAAACGCACTGGAGTTCGAGTTCAGCTGGAAGATAAATGTTTACTTCATATCTCAAATTCAAGTTTTTCATCCACAATATTTAAAAATCTTTGTCGAAGTTCACATTTACTACGGTCTAACCAATTGCTACAACTTTTTTTAGATTCTACCCTCAGTTAGTTTTATGAACAATAAAAATGTAACCCGTAATAAACATCTAATGACAAACAACTTAACCAATTTGTTAAAGACACTGGAAGGAACTAGCGTTTAAGATACAGGCTAGGCCTAGTTTAAACGCTAGTGCACATAGAATTATTTTATGTACCTACGAGGTTAACAAAAATTAATAGTGAGAACACAATGATTTGTTGCATTGTATGTTTATAACCTTTAGAATGTAAGTACAAAATGTAATTGTTTTTTATCAAATAAAGTGATTTTTATTTATTTACTTAAGATTCAGAAGCGAGAATAAACTTATCTCTTGCTTTTTTAAAGAACAGGGGGCTAACGTGCCGAAAGCTCATCGGGTGTTAACAGTGAACAGTTTATCATTAAAATCTGCAATTTTGTCAAACGGTTCCCAGTTTGAATAAAATATGTAAACAATTCAAAATGTTTAAAAGCAAGGTTTATTTCTAATTATGCCTTACCCCAAAGTATGCCACGACGTCCCCCAACTCCCCCCACATTACGTCTCCTGCGCCGTCAACTAGACACAATAATGCCCCACTTGCCCCCCAATATCGGTCGAGCGAGTTGCAAGCTGAATTTTCACAAGCGCTACACAGCGATGGGTATTTATGCTCTGAAAACAAATAGTGATATGAAAAGACAAAATAATTAAAATTATTATCATAATTCTTGGATATTATCCACTCCTTATATGGAAATTGTATTAGTTTTTACAACAAACTTCCAAGCGAAATTAGAGAATTATCATTAAATAAATTCAAAGCCCTCGTTAAACGTAAATAAATCAATAAAGCTTTTTATAAGTTTGACGAATATTTAAATGATCCTAATCCTTGGGATTGATTTGCTCCAGTTCAAACAATTTGTACGACTCAAAACTTTGTGATTAAAAAGAGTGGCGGAAAGTTTCTTGCCAGTTCTTGCCACTCCGCCCTTGACTTGCGAACTGGTAGTAAAAGTTGTTTCACAAATGAATATAGTTATTTTGAGTTTGAGTTCTATAGAACAGGGGGCAAACGGGCACCTGTTGTTAAGTGACACCAATGCCCGTCATCGGACGACGAGGCAGAATAAATTCCACCCATATCACCTCGACATTCGCGGACCACCACCATTGGGATCCCGCTACCCACTGAAGTATTTATGAACAATTTGACTTATGATGTTAAGTGATACCCATGGACTCTCAATGCAAGAGGGCTCACGGTAGCGTTGCCGGACTTATAATTGATACGCTCCTTTCTAGAAGGAAGGTCGTATTTGTTCGGATAAAAATCAGTATAATTTTTTTTTCACTATCCAGTATCTATTACTCGTGGGAGCGACAACTTTTTGCATTTAAGTTTTATCGGAATGGAATATCGCTGTTGGTCTTGATAGCCCAGTTCGGGATGTTTTGACGAACGTAGCTCGGCCGGAGTGGGTTTATACCGCGCCCATTGCAAGGCGTCTCCCGCGAGACTCGGACCTTGGTATGGGCCGTCGCCGGGTGGTCAATCGTCTGAAGGGCAGGAGGGAAGCTCACTGGAGCGAGGGAGCGGGCTTTTAATTTGTGATTCTGGTACTATTGTTATGGGAACGCATCACTTGTAATATTTTCTATAAAATAAAAATAACTTACTAAGTTCGGCATCTCTCACAGGATCCGGAAGCCAGGGTCCAGCTTTACAGGCCTTGCCGAAGAATTCGGCCACGGATTTGATTCTGTTTTCGGTAAGAGACAGCTTCGGGTCACATGACCTCGTGATTACTAGCGATTCGAGATACTGTAAATTAAAAAAATACGAATTGAATAAAGACATCAAAACACGTAAAATTCATATTTATGTATTTATGACTTCCAAACACGTGTGCTTAATTCACAAATTTCTTGAAAACTAGGGAATAGCTTGACATTCATCACAATCGGCTCAGAAGTTCTTTATTTACACGCATTCGCTGTTGCAAGCGAAAGCAAATAGCGATATACAAAAGAAAAATATAAAAAGTACCTATAACATACACACAAATGAAACAATAAATGGTTAATTAGCATAATTAGTTGCTGTTCTCCCTAGGAGAACACATAATATATATAATATACTAGCAGGCCGGCCAAGCGTTGCTGCGGCTAAGGTTTTTGTTATATTATATAGTAGTAAACTATTCAAGGGAAACGGTAGGGAGAACACCAATCATGGAGACCACCATGTTTTTTTGGTGGTTATGCCATTAAAAGCTTATGCGAAACGTTTGTACTTTCAACACAGCGCCATCTGTTAGAATTGTGACTATCAAGTAATAAGCAAATATTTTGCAATAAAATAATATTGCGAGTATAAATTGAGATGTAAGCTATCCTATCTTTTAAGTTAGATCAAATTGCACACGGTGTTCAAATTTGATTGAAATCGGTTATGTAGTCTAGGAGTTCACCGCGGACAAACAACGTGACGCGTAATTTATATATATTAAGATAATAATATATAAATTTAAAAATATATGATTCCTACATCGGAACCTTAATGTAGAGGACATCAGCAATAATGAAAAAGGTTTTTGGAGCCACGAAGGAGATTGAAAAGGATAAAATCATTCGAATTAGTGAATTAGTCTTAAGTGCTAAACTGTGGTAAGAGAAAGGAACACAAGAACGGAGTTTCTTCTCCTGAATAGAGACTTTTAGTAGTGTTATTGGACACTATGTTAAATATCCTTTTTGTAAAGAAGATTAGTTTAAGTTACTTATTAGTCAGTATAGATCGTAATGTTTGTTTTGGTGCAGAGACAATTGAATTAAAAAAATTATCACTCACCCCGGCTAAAGTATCGGACAGTGGCCGGAGGTCATTGACCCCGTTACCAGGGTGACATAATGTGGTGTTCCGAAGTATTGACCCCAGGGACCAAGCACCTTCCACTACCAGACGACGATTTATCACCGCCACCACTGTACGCTCGTAGTCCTCTGAAATAGTTCGAGTTTTAAGAAGAAAAAAAAGCAATCTTATAAGATATGTTAGGAATGTAATTAATTTGAGTGTCGAAAAATAATACAAATTATAAATTAAATTTATTTCTTCGATAATAAAAACACAAATATAAAATACTAGTATTTCATAAATTTTCTTTACGAAATTTTATTTTAAAAATAGAATTACTATAAGGTAATTCGCCCTTCTCACTCTCTTTCAACCGGTCTCAATCGCTCTCTCCTTTTCTTCGACAAAAACGCTGCACATTTTGACGCTATTATTATTATTATTGCGTTTCAACTTTTCAACAGCTGACGGTGTGCGATACACCAACAGCTCACAAGAATAATATCATGTATGTATTCACACGTAAGTATTATTTAAGAAGTTTTTTTAACAATAAATCCGATTTGAATATTGCTCTGTCTTATTCCCGCTTCTTATCAAAATGGCGAAAATGCCTTCAAGCCCTTAATTATCGAGGTGATGCCCGATAGTTTGAGATAATCCCTTGAACCTCTGATCTTACCCGTAGGGCTCCGTCTGTTACCTTAGCTCTCTTGGTACAGACATCCCGTACTTATTTATATATTCACAATTGATGTATTAGGGACATCTGTAGGGCTTAGGGGTTGGAAGATTCTGAGGTCTCACCCTCTCATATATTTAGTTATATTTATCATACGCCGTTCCCTTGCCACCGTCAACGTGCCAAGTCTTCTTGAGCCAAGTGGTATTGCAAGAGACGATGGCAAGAGACCGGACGGTATGAGTTTGATTCCATGGAAGATGGGTCGGGTACTGGTATGGGATGCAACCTGTTCAGACACGCTGGCCCCTTCCCATCTACATGGAACCAACTACAGAGCTGGTGCGGCTTGTGAAGCGGCTGAAAAAAATAAAGCATGCAAGTACAGGGGTCTAGGCTCAGAATATGATTTTGTCCCATTCGGTGTCGAGACCCTTGGTCCGTGGGGTCCTAGCGCTTTAAGGCTTTTTAAAGAAATTTCAAAAAGGTTAGTCGACATCACAGGAGACCGAAGATCTGGCAGCTACCTCGGACAAAGAATTAGTCTAGCAATTCAAAGGGGGAACGCTGCCAGTATCTTCGGAACCTTGCCTAAAGGGACTCCTTTTAATGATATATTTTAGTTTATGTTAAGTTTCGTTATTTATTTCAATGTATATTATTTTATTATTATTAGTTTATGTTTATAAGTTTAATTTTATTAATATTGTTACCATTAAACTTAATACTATTGTCAAATGTTACAAGCTATAAACTTACTTACCACTTCTGCTGACACTCAGGAACCATATACCGATACTCCTGACATTTATTAGATATAAATTTAAATACACATTTCACAGTGCACTGCCTTGCAATACACCAAGCCACATCAGAAGGATTTGTGAATAAGTCAACTTACGAACTCTATGCCTCAGCTCATTTGTAACCAGTACATCAACATCAGCCCACTGAGCAGCTACAAGATCTTCAGGTGAGAAGGCGCCAAAGTCCACTGTGCCTTTGCTGATGCGACGGAGACAGTCCAACCTGGAAGATAATATCTGCAGTCTGGAGTCATGTATTCTTTAGGGTTTTTTTTGTGAAAGCTGCGAGTATCATGAAATAAACCTCGAAGCTGATGGATCTGCAATCCTTTTTCGCAAACATATCTTTTTTATAGTACAGGAAGCAAACGGCAGAAGGCTCACCCGATGTTAAGTGACACCAACCATGGGCAATGCTAGAAGGCTCACAGTGACTTTTAAGAATTGGTACGCTCTTTTCCTGAAGTCGAATTGGTTCGGAAATACTTCAGTGCGCAGCTAGTTCCACATAGTTGTGGTGCGCGGAAACTGCCTTAAGATACGCTCAGTTCTGGAACGACGGATGTCGAGTTGATACGAAAGTAATGTAATTTTACAAGTCAAGACTGTAGATCGAATAATGGGCTTAAAATTTTAAGTCTTCTTCATACTTATACAAATCTAAAACTTTACAGATATATATATAGAATATTTCAGAGACTAAGAGGGAGGGAAAAAGGAAGATATGTTAGGAATTTAATGAATTTTTATTGTCATTAAAATATTAAAAGTGTCCAAAATTAATACAAATTATACATTTAAGTTTTTTAATTTATTTCTTCAATAATAAAAACACGTGGCATTTTAATTTACAATTCGTCATAGTCAATATTACTATTTTATATTTTGCATAAAATATAAAATACTAATATTTCATAAATTCTCTTTACGAAATTTTTATTTTAAAAATAGAATTTCTATAAGGTAACTCGCCCTTCTCACTCTGTCTCAATCGGTCTCTCCCTTTTCTTCGAAAAAAACGCTGCACATCTTCGTGACGCTAATATTATTATTATTGTGTTTCATCCGTATAAATTTTACCCTCATGCACCTAAAGAAGTTTCACTTTAAAAATAAATACCTATCAGTTCCCAGAACACACTCCACGCCCGACGATTCTTCATCCAAGATGGGACAGAACTTTGCACCTCGCTTGTATGCGCCACGCCCTTCCACTATACATAGTCGCACTGAAACAAAAATATTACTATATATTACTCATTCAATTTGAACACACGACATCATGGTTGAAAGTCGGTCGCTCAGACATTGGGCCGGCATTCATACATAGTAAAAACAATTTTAAAGAAAATATTTACGTGTAGCTTTGAGGCAACCCTAGGGCGTTTGAACCCCTGTGTTTAAAAAAATATCTTAATTAAATATTTAGTCTATTAAATACTTGGTATAATACAGTGAGGGTATGTATGTTAGACCAAAATGTGTCAGGCACAGAAATCTTGCCTTAAGGTAATATCAAGACGAACTTTTTGCGCCTGTATTAAAGTATACCTTCAATCTATACTAAAACATTAAAAAAGTAATACGATGAATTTATTATCCTAAAAATACCTATAATATAGTACGAGTATAACTAAAACTGTTGCGTCATTGCGCACATTTTCCATCAGGCGCTATTTTTTCGCTATGACTGTAGTTCGCTTCGCGTGATAATGAAAAATACGAGTCATACATCGCGCTAAGTTTCGTTTCTGAACACCACCTTATAATTTCTAATAGTGCTTACGACGTTTTTGTATCCAATCAAGTAGTTCTCTTAATCTGGTATCTCTTGTTAGAATTAATGAACAATTCGTCATCTAAGCACCTACTATTCTCGATAGGAGATTTATATTGGATAAAGCAGCTAAATAATTTGAAAATATCGTTAAGTTTTCTCGAGAAACAGATATACCATCTTGTTCCGAGCTATTTGCTGGCTAAAGAAGGATGGTGTACTTTTACTCCGACTTTTGGGGAGGATCTTTGTCCAGCCTAACTGGCCCGAAGGTCCCAATGGTTAAGGTCGATTTTTTTTATATAAAAGCGGAACTAAGAAACGCGTTCCATTGTAAAACTATTTAGTGGGTAAATTAAAATAAAACCTTCCCACACACACAATTAGAAAGATGACCTAGTCGCTTAACCGTGCGACTTTCAGCCTTAAGGTGGTGATTTCGAATCAAATTATTTATTTAAAAAAAAATACGCAAGCTTTACTCCAATGCGGCAACATTTATATCACATACAGAACAATGCAAACAGAAAAAAAGACACAACATTAAATAGTAATAGATTAAAATATTTACAAAAAAACTGTTTTTTTACAGTTTTTTAATGTAATAGGAGGCAAACGGGCAGGAGGCTCACCTGATGTTAAGTGATACCGCCGCCCATGGACACTCTAATGCCAGAGGGCTCGCAAGTGCGTATAGGAACTGCCATGAAGCAGCTTTGTCCAATGGATTTTTCTTTATATTTTTAACACTTGCTCCAATGGTGAAGGCAAACATCTTAAGGAAACATGTCTTCACATATATCCTATAACCCCTAGATGAGGACGAGAACGTCCACAGTAGGTCTCCATCGCGTTCAGCCTTAAGCCTCATATTTCATATCACTCCAAGTATTTCCTTCACTAGGCTTCAGCCACATCTGCAACTGTACGACACAAGGTTTGCTTGGGATGGCCACGCTTCGGCTTTCCTTCCTCCTATTTGGTGCCTTCCGTTCCTATCTGTGCCTGATTGGAATCTCTTCTTTAGCATTGCCTATCCAATTCCACTTGCGTCGTTTGATCTTCTGGCTAATCGTGATTAGCTCGGCAGAGCTCCCAAAGTTCCTCGTTAGAGATTGTCTCGGGCTAGTAGACACCCAGAATACGGCGAAGAGAGCGATTAACGAAGACTTGGAGCCGGTGCGAGATGTCGTTAGTGAGCTTCCACGTTAAACAAGTCTTAAAACCCAAAAAATCTACATGAGTCAGGCATATAAAACTGATCTCTTTTTGGATATTTTAGGTATACATGCTAGGGTATAAAAAATAAAATTGAATACAGAAAAAAAAACTAACGAAAATATTACGAAACAAAGTCGCTTTCTCTGTCCCTATGTATGCTTAAATCTTTAAAACTACGCAACGGATCTTGATGCGGTTTTTAATAGATAGAGTGATTGAAGAGGAAGGTTTATATGTATAATAACATCCATTAAATAGTGGAGAAATACTGTTATTTTTGAGAATTTCTAATGTGATGTCGTAAATCGTAAATAATTACATTTTTTCCGCTTCCATTGCGAACCCTATGAGATTTATCAAAATAATGTACTAAGTATTGTACACATCAAAAAGGTCTACAGAAAACTCCGCGATGGTATATGTCTATCTCTCATGGATATCCCACAATAATATTCTTTTGTCATTTACTTTTTACGACAAATAATGGCTAATTTTCGAAGCGATTTTAACCAATACAGCATTAATCCTTATCCAATTAAATATAGATCTATATGGCCCTTTACAGCATATGATTTAAATGAATATTTTCGAAGATATTACAAATTTAAAATTGCGGGACCCAGCGCGTCGGAGGCCGCGGTTTTCCCTATAATCCATGGCACTTTGAATTTAGTATCAGCATTGCACCCGTGCGAAACCGGGGCGGGTCGCTTTTTTATCGATTAGGGCAGCGCTGTATTGTGGCTTAAAGTGGTCGTGAATTCAATTACAGAACGATCACCTTCCTACGAAAAATTATTAAGAAACAGACAACATGTCATCATCTCAAATAAAATTAATTGCAGCACACTTCTAGAAAGTTTGCCTACCAGACTTGTAATCATGCTTTGTTTCACGTTCCCCACACCAACACCAACCATGCAGAAAACTCAGTTTTGTATCGCGCAGCCCGGACATACAACGACCTTTATTTAAGCTATTGCCTTGACTTGTTTAAGCTATTCCGAATATGCTTAAAATGAGTGTTAAGTATATCCATACCGTTATGATCTCTATATATATGTACCTATGTCATGTTTGCCTATAAGTGCTTGTCACATTAAAAATTGTATTTTGTGTTTGTTTTTACCAATGTCTCAGTGTGCCAAGCGTTGGCAAGCTTTTTCTCAATAAAAAAAATAATCACACAACAGCCGAATTAGGTATTACTTAATTCCAAAACTGAGCGTTTTTTAAGGCAACATTTGCCGCGCACCACCACGATGTGGAAACAGCTGTCTACTGCACTATTTCCGAAACAAGGCGTGGGGAGAAAGAAAAGAGCGTAATTCAAACTGGCGAACTCTCTGGCGTTGAGAGTGTCGCGGGCGTCCACAAGTATCAATTAACATTAGGTGAGCTTCTGCCCGATTGTCCCATCTACTACATAAAAAACTGGGGCACTGGTTTGCGAACGCATAACAAGGTTGCTTCATTAACTATTAATACATTTAACTTACAATACAATACTCGTGTTACAAAGACATAATTGGCCAATCTGATATCGCCCTAACAATGGCACGCAATTAATTATTGACACCTTGTATTATAATATTCACGTGCTAGACTAATTGCTGTGTTTATAATTGTTGCACAGGTAAATAGATTTATTATACAAACGTATAAACATATTTTATTGTTTATAAAAAATAAAGTTTAGTTGGCGCCCGATAGATAGCTGGTGCTTTCCTCGCTCAACGAAACGTGAAGGTACACTGCCATAGGGACCAAACTTTTTAAATTGGTTTTAATTTAACTATTATTACTATTTAGGTTAAGATATTAGTATATTTGTGTATTGGAAATAAATATCATATATTTTATTTATTTAATAACACTGGTTGCAATAACGCAGAAATACAGTTAAAATAATTAAATAAGGAGTGCAACTGGACGCCTTTCGAGCGATCTCTTCCAGGCAACCACTGTGGGAGAAAAAAATTAAATTAGACAAGGTGAGCGCAAGAAGTGCATAACTACATAAGATAGAAAATTACTTAGACAAAACTGATGGAATAAAGTAAAACAATTAAATCATTGGTAAAAAAGTGTACATGAATCACGATAATCTCAGATCCGTTAGTAAAGTTAGGGATACGAAGTGGACAGGTAATGTAGTACAGTAGACATTTAAAGGAAGAAAGAGAAGGAGCTAATCGGATAGTGACGGGAAGAGAATAGCCTCACTGCAGAGGCCTTAAAAATATATGTACTTCTTTTTAATAAAGAATCTTTTGGTGTTATAAATCAATCGTCGTATATATCAACTAAAGAGAAAAGGAAATAAGAATGCTCGAAACTGGAGGAACTCAAAGCCGCATTGAACGGATACTTGGACGTCAGAAAGATTGCTGACACGTTGCCGGTTCAATAAGAGATACACGCATGAAGGAAAGAATTGGATCCTTCATGTGGTTCGGAATTTCTTCGAGTTCGACAGTAGCGTAAAGCGTAAAACGCTGTGTTATTTTTATTATTATATTATTTGTATAAAATATAAAATGTCCAAACCCATCAAATGTGTGGTTACGCAAAATGTTTTTAATAGTCTTAATTAGTTAATATTATAGTTATGAAGTAAAAAAACATATTTTTTAAAATTATTTCTTTCACATTCAAATTGGCAATTTATTGATAAATTATGTTTTCCTAATACATAATTATAATAATAGCCTTTTATTTAAGATACTTTTACACTTATGAGTAAAAAAGTAAGTTAATAATATAAAATGATTATTTATTAATTATAATATTATTTTTAAATCTGAATGCCCTTTTTTGGCAAAGCAATATAGTAGTACATAGTATAAAGAAACAATTAGTTTCCTTAATATAGACCATATTCTAAATTCCACGTTCCAAATTCCAAATTGTCTTATTTTAATATATAATAATATATATTATGTGACGCGTAAATACATACACAACAAAAATCAAGTAAAGTAGATATATTTTAAAAAATTCTGTATAAATTAATAATTATTTTAATTTACAATAACCGCTTCATCTATAATTTCACGCAAAAACTGTTAATTGTTGAGTGCTAATAAAAATTGTTATTTTCCTTGTAATAATATTATCATGAAACACAAGCTAACATAGAAAAATCTTTTTTTTTATAGAATTTGATTTGATTACTCAATACAATTACTTTGACAATACAATTTGTCTATAGCCTTAATAGGCTTCAGTTTCGGCGATTACCTCTTCATCAGCACAAAATTTCTGTCCAGCGAGCATTCTCTTGTGGTCTGAGAACCGGAAATAGTCGCTGGGGGCCATATCTGGAGAATACGGTGGAATGGTTGATTTTATTGATTAAATAGTAATATTCCTTAGTTCCGGAGATCTCTGGGTGACTTAACCAGTTCGACTTTCTGATGAATCCATATTTTCCCCAGTACCGATATAATGGTCGCATTGATTCTCCTCCACCACACCGTAACCCAGCAGAGTACCGTCGATGTATGAGTGTGTCAGCGATGATGTAGCTTTATGTTGATGCACTTTGGAGCCAACATTCATCACCTGAGACGTTGGCAAGCGGCCGGATGGGATATCTCTTGGAAGATGGGACGGGCTTTGGTATGGGATGCTACTTGAGTGGACACAATAGCTACGTCTCACCACCCTTGGACAAGCAAAAAAGCTGGCACGGCCGCGGAGCAGGCGGAAAATAAAAAACGGCTCAAATATAACACTCCAACTTTGATTTTGTTCCATTTGGAGTAGAGTTGGCGCCTGGTAGATAGTACCGGTGACCCCAGAGCTGGTTTCCTAGCTCAACGAATAAGTATTGCAATACAGCGTGAAAATGCTAGCATTAAAAGTACAGGGACCAAACTTTTTAAATTTGTTTTAATATTTCTATGTAGGTGAAGAATTTTGTTAATAATGTTTATTTGTGTACTGGAATAAATATAAATTAATTTAGGGAATAATTTCTTCAAATATCTTACTGTAGTACATATCCAATGGAATACCTATGTAGATATATATATTTACGTATAAATAAATATCTATATCTCAATCGATTCCTTCGAAGCTCGGACTGTAAGAACCGAAATTTGTGGACATATGGGTTTTATTCAGCTTCTTTCTTTCCTCTTCTTCTTCTTGTAGTGCCTCTCTACTACTGTAGGTTGGCGGTCAGCTCGTCATAGTTCTTCTTATTCAACAGAAAAAATCCTTGTTGAAGTGTGTTAAAGGTAATTTTCCGTTCTTCTTGAGTGTCTATTGTCTCGATATTGTAATTAATTTTAATAGCCAAATAAATGCATTTGCTGTTTGGTCTCTGACACAAAAAGTTTGACCTTTACACGGACTTCCCGAAATAACGAGTTTTATACTGCCTTCTCGAGTGAAGGTCAGTTAAAATTTCGGTTAGTCATTATTTTATTGAATATATACTTTAATATATCACAGTGCTGGCCTAGTGGCTTCAGCGTGCGGCTCTCATCCCTGAGGTCGTAGGTTCGATGACTTCGATCCCCGGCTGAGCATCAATGGACTTTCTTTCTATGTGCGCATTTAACATTTAACGTGAAGGAAACCACCGTGACGAAGCCTGTGCTTTTTTTTTTTTTTTATAGAACGGGGGGCAAACGGGCAGGAGGCTCACCTGATGTTAAGTGACACCGCCGCCCATGGACACTCTCAATGCCAGAGGGCTCGCGAGTGCGTTGCTTGCCTTAGACCCAAAAAGTTGACGGCATGTGTCAGGCACAGGAGACTGATGACCTACTTGCCTATTAGATTGACAAATGATCATGAAACAGATACAGAAATCTGAGGCCTACACCTAAAAACGTTGTTGCGCCACTGACATATTCTTTATTTACATAGCAGTATTCAATGGAATGACTATTCCGATGGTGAAATTTAAGGAATCAACTTTCCAATGCTCTATTAAAATGAATTTCATCATCGGACGTAGAGGCAAAATACGAAATTCTACTTGTTTTTAAGGCAGTTTTTGCCTCGACACAACACTATGTGGAACCAGCTGTCCACTCAAGTATTTCCAACCCATTTGTCTTAGAGTCCTTCAAGTAAAGATCATACGAATTCTAAAATTCCGGCAACGCACTTGCGAGACTTCTGGCATTGTGAGTGTCTATGGATATCTTAACATCAGGTGAGCCACCTGCCCGTTTTCCTGTTATAAGAAAAATGGTACTAAGAAATAACAAAATGGACTGGACCTACTGGAAAGAGATGTATAGGACGACAAAAGAAAAAATGATATTATAGAACAAGCGGGGAAAACTGGATGAATGTTGCTAATAACAAAGACAAATTGAAAAATATGAAGGGCCATACAAAGACCAATAAAAAAGAAAAACCCCTTTATTATTTAAAACTTTTTTTTTATAGAACAGGGGGCAAACGGGCAGGAGGCTCACCTGATGGCAAGTGATACCGCCGCCCATGGACACTCTCAATGCCAGAGGGCTCGCGAGTGCGTTGCCGGCCTTTTAACTTATATATATAACTATAACTTATACTAATACAACTACTACTAATATTAAGGAATGTAAACTAACCTTTTGTTGTATTGATTAATTAATAAAGCTTTAATAATAAAAATAAGTAAATAAAATAATACATCTTTGCATAACGACAATTAACAATGTTGGTCCTTCAAATAGAAAAAGAATGCAGAAGAATGATGCCCGAAGGTCCCAGGCTAAGGTCAAGAAGATGTAAGTATATAACCTTAGTTGAAATAACTTTGTTAGCGCGTTTCAGAGTCTAACGGCAGATTGTGGGTGTTAAATAAATTTCTTAAAACTTCAACCGACTCTAGTGTAGTGTAGAGCTATCGCGGAATATGTGTATGTCACCGTAAAATTGTAAACACCGTTAGATTGTAATCTATCTCGCGAGATTGTGAACTGTCGAAACATTGTGAACTCAACGTACTGCTTACAATTTAACGTAATTTATTATTCGGTAGATTGTAATCTATCGAAGTGAAACCGTCAAATTACAATCTTAAAATTGTCAAATTGTCGACTGTCCGAAGGCTGTCCCTGATTGGTCGGCTTTATAGTAGACCGTTCTATGTCCATAGAGTTAGAAATGAAACAATGAAACGGGTATCAGTCAAATAAAATGAATGCACTTCAAGAAATGTGACATCAAGTATTTATTCATTACTTAGTAGGTTAGGTTAGGTTAGCATCATGAGCACACCCCACATACACACCATGACTTTACACCATGAGACAGCTTAAAAACTCTAAACCCGTACGGTATTATAAATATGTAACAAAAATGATTCTAGAAATTCATACCTAAGTTAACTTTATAGAAACAGACAAAACAATACACGAATATGATTTTGTCCCATTCGGTGTCGAGACCCTTGGTCCGTGGGGTCCTAGCGCTATAAGGCTTTTTTAGGAAATTGCAAAAAGATTAGTCGACATCACAGGAGACCGAAGAGCTGGCAGCTACCTCGGGCAAAGAATTAGTCTAGCTATTCAAAGGGGGAACGCTGCCAGTATCTTCGGAACCTTGCCTACAGGGACTACTTTTAATAATGTATTTTAGTTATTATATTTTAAGGTTAGTTCTTGTTTTTTGTATTTATAAGCTAAGTTAAATTATATATTATTGTTCAATAATGTAATAAATTCTCAAATATGACCACGCTGTGGTCATTAGGAACGTTTTGGGTGCGCTAGAATCATTTGTTGTAATTTCAAAGAGATTGTTAAAAACAGACTTTGTTTAACAAAAAAAAAAATTCTTATGGCCGATCTAAGAAATAATGGACTCAGTGTTATACCATTGTAGAATCCTTATTAAATGCGCTAACTTTTAAAGCTACTTGCCAAACTGGAGTAATAAATTTTTTTTTCAGGACGATCAGTTGAAGTAGTGCGAAAATTAATTTTGAAAACTTGGTACGGTATAAAATGACATTTTCCTAAAAGTTGGAGTGATCAGCACAGAGTTTAGGATTATAGGTTACATAAAGCACTATTCGGGATGACGTAAGAGAAAAAAAATTGGCAAAAAGTAAATATTTGTAACAACAGGAATGAAAAAACTGTCACATGGTGTACATTTTCTGGAATAAAAGGAAAATTTCCATAACTTCAAAAATACATGACTTAATTTTTTTTTTAATTTTTCTGATAACTGGTGTGGCGTTACCTATGAGAAAATTTCGACTTGACGTCGACTTTTGGGACACCCTGTATATTACTTTCAAGAACGTCGAAAAACAATATACCAGAACATTTAATAGATATCGACATACCCAACTCCCACAATTTACAAGAAACAATAGCTCATAAAATCACGTAATATACAGATCTTAAAAATTAAATTAAAAGGTTGTGGACTCTTAACAAAGCATAATAGTTCATATAGATTTGTCCGTCACTGGAGTAATCCCAATTGCAGGCTGCAAATTCCCCGTACTAGACTATCTAAAGTTAGTAATACTTTTTTGGGAAGAGGGATACTCTTGTTTAATAAAATCCCAGAGGCTCTTTTATCTCTGCCTTTTAATAAATTTATGAAATGTATTAAAGAAAAGCTGTGTAAAAAGGCTCACTATAAAGTTAACGATTATCTAGTTGATAAAAAGGCCTGGGACTAGTGCTAGACAGGTTATTTCTAATTAATTTGCGATATTTGTTTGAAAATAAGTGTTTTTGATGATTTGCTAGTTTAAAAGAGTACCGAGAGATTTTTACGCCCTCTTTTTCTCTCGGCCTACACCCTCTGTCTTCTTTGCCGATGAGTAGGGATTAATAAATTAATGACGTGGAATAAGTGATACCTGTACCTTATGTTCCATAATAAACATATTTTTTTTAAATAATTATTAGTGGTACATGGTGTCAAACAAAAGTCGTATAAGACCTGTATGAACGAAGAAACTTTTTGGTTTTTCTCTACTAATAAAGCAAATATGCAAATCTGATCATGGGTTTCTTTTCTTCAATTTATTGTAGGTATTTCCCCACGTGTCTGCTGGGGTTTTTACTGTTCCAATACAGTGTTAGTAATAACAAACGACACGCGCAAACGAGTGTTATTGAGATACTAATATGGTGTCGTGAATGATAGCAATGATCGAATTTCAAGGATTTTATTGCATTTTATTCGTTATACTCTTTATAATGGTGTTATATGATGGGAAGAACTAATGTATGGGTATTGGGTTAAACTAAATAAATTTAACTAATTTTTACTTTATACAGAGTTTTCCGTTATAACGAATAACGTTATAAAAACTTTACACTGTATATCTTCTAGGATATATAATAATAATCAATGGCGCTACAACCTTTTTTTTTTAGGTCTGGGCCTCAGATTTCAGGATCTGTTTCATGATCATTTGGTAATCTAATAGGCAAGAAGGTGATCAGCTTCCAGTGCCTGACACACGCCGTCGACTTTATGGGTCTAAGATATGTCGGTTTCGAGTCGAGTCGAGCGCTAGTCGCGCAAGGGCGTCTCCTGAGAGACTCCCACCTCGGCTTGGGCCACCCCGGGATGGT